CAGTTTACAAAAGCAAGGTGGTCTGGACCACGCGTTCTCACCTAACTAACCATTTCAAATTTAAAAAAAAAAAAAAACCCCAAATTTAGACGTCTCCCGCAACGTCGTCTCACTTGGACTGTTTGGACCCAGCAAGGAAGGGCACAGCGCTTCTGCAGTTACCGGTTGGGGTGACTGTCTGTTCTGTTTGCTGGACGGACGTCGAATTAAAAAGGAGGCCCCGTGAGACATTTATTTGAGCTTGAAAAAAAAGCGGTCTTGGGGATAGGAAATCTGCTATTCTAGTCCCGGTTTCAAACCCTGGGTTTTGTCTTTTTTGCCCTTTTCCTGATCCCGGCCTTCCGCTGTGTCCGCTTCTCGATATTTTCCGGAGCCTCCGTTCGTCCCAACCCCCCCGGTCGCAAACCCGCACACCCACCTTCAATAGTCGTAATCCCTTCCGATCATCCCGTGCCTATCTCGATATGTTGCTCCCAAAGGGCGGTGTTACGTGGAAATCGGCCAAGGCCAGATTGCCTCCTGCCAGGGCTGTGATCTCACTGGTTTCCCGACCTCGATTTATCTTTGCTTTCGCCCTTACGGGTATGGTACTGCTGCTATGGAGAGGAATCTGGAGTTCTGCGACGGAAATGCAGAGGTATGTTGTTTACCTTTATCCTGTCCCCTTTTTAGAGACTGATATCTATGTATATATATGTATTGTTCTCATATTCTTGCCTTTTCAAGGATCCTGTGGTATGGGTATGGGGAAATGCTGACTTTGGAACCCCTTTCCGTGCTTTAGTTTCTACTGCTTTGGACCCTCAAAGTCCCCGGCGAAAATGACACCCAATGAGATGGTCGAGTGGAATTCACATCTCCAAACACCAGTATTATTTAACCACCACGAGCCGTACGAAATTAACTCCTCCACCATCCAAAATATTGACCTTAATGTGATCAAATCAACCACCAAAGCCGCGACGAACAACGAACGTGTCCTCATTGTCACCCCCCTCCGAGATGCTGCCCCTTATCTCCCCAAATACTTTGATCTGGTCAGCGAATTGACCTACCCACACCACCTTATCGACCTCGCATTCTTGATCAGTGACACGACAGATGACACTATGGCTATTCTAGCTGCTGAGCTTGAACGGATACAAAAGGCTGAGAAGACAGCCTTCCGTAGTGCTAAGATTATCCAAAAGGATTTTGGGGTGGATCTGAGCATGGAGGTCCATGAGAAGCATAGTTTTGAAGCCCAAGGCCCTCGGCGGAAGGCAATTGCGAAAGCCCGGAACTTCCTGCTCAGCGCTGCGTTGAAACCGGACCACTCGTGGGTTTACTGGCGCGATGTTGATATTGTCGATAGTCCGAAGAGAATTATTGAGGATTTCGTCGCTCATGACAAGGATATTCTTGTGCCCAGTACGCCATGCCATGTCCATATATTTTGCCTGTCAACACAGCATAACAACTAACGCGGAGTCGCAGATATCTGGTTCCACCGGTACGAGAATGGTCGTGATATCGAAGGAAGATGTATGTGACTGGGGCTTGATTCTGATACTTCCTGGTCATCTTGGAGTTGATTCTTGATTTTATGCTGACCTGCTTTTTTTTTATTAGTTGACTACAATTCCTGGAAAGAAAGTGAGAAAGGCTTGAAGCTTGCCGCCAGCCTTGATAAAGACACCATCCTAGCAGAGGGATACAAGGAGTTCGACACTGGCCGCAAATACCTTGCTGGAATTGGTGACTGGAGAAACAACAAAGACGAGGAGGTGGAGTTGGATGGCATTGGAGGCGTCAATATTATTGTCAAGGCTGATGTGCATAGAGCTGGTATGTTTCTTTTTCTTGTTCTCCCCATTCCTTGTGTATTTGTTACACAGTAGATGCTAACGACTGGAATCCGGTCCAGGCATCAACTTCCCCTGCTACGCTTTCGAAAACCAAGCAGAGACAGAAGGCTTTGCCAAAATGGCGAAACGCGCCGGCTACCAAGTGGTCGGATTACCCAATTATGTGGTCTGGCACATCGATACGCAGGAGAAGGCAGGAAACCTGGGCAGTCGACCGGCCTACTGATTAACACCGACAACGACAACGACGACAACCTCAAACAACTCCACACAACCTCAAAACCCTAAACAATAATGATAAACAATATTAATAATAATAAGGGAACGGAAATGTGACATTACTTCCTTCTTTCTTTGGCTTTACCTGATCCGCAAAGCCGCAGTTTTTGGACTCCCCATTTTTATTTTACGAAACCGTCCGCACCTACCCACCCCCAACCCCCTTCAGCGCAAACGCAAAAGCGACCACAACTCTAACAACATTTTTCTTACTATTAGAGGTACAGTAGAATACAACATTTTCAACACCTTTCCTTCCGCCGCATTTGGTTGTTTCAGCTCCATTCGATACACCATAAAGCTGTTGCCTGGCGGGTGTTTTATGGAAGGATGGCCCTCAAAAACTTGTGGCGAAATTAAGGGGCGGGGGAAGAAAAGTTACAAATCATTATAATTGACGTCGACGGTAATACACTTTTCCCCCCTTCATGTTTTAGTTCTTTTGGCGGTTTCTTCTATTGCGCAACTTTGTTTTAGACCAGATGTTTAATGGGGGAGACGAAGACGAAGACGAAGACGAAGACGAGGACGAGGAATCAAAAAGAGAATCAGTCATTCGTGGCTTGTTTGAGCTGGTATATGTATATTTATCCACAAGTTATTTTGGTTGAAGCTGACATTGCATGCGTCCTTTGCCGTCCTCATCTGTCATTTTGTCTGTCTATTCGTCTTCCTTCCCCCTCGCCTTTTTGATGCCTCTTTGCCCATCATCTATATTAATTTACTCCTCACATTTGTTTTCTTTTCTTCTTCCCCCTCCCTTCATTTCAGTTTTGTTCTCATTTTCCCTTCTCGTTCCATTTCTTATTCTTTTTTTTTTCTTTTTTCGTTTTTGAGTTCTCTCTTCTCGTCTGTTTTCTTCTACATCTTTCTGCTTTCTTTTTGACCTAAAAACTTTATTATTTCTGGCGCTTCGGGGGAAACAGGCAGGGGTGTTCGTTTTCTTTTTTTCCCTTTTCATTATATATATTTTAAAATATCTGTTAGTTTTATTCTTTGTGAGTATATTATGTTATATTATTTTTCTTCGACTTCACATTTGAATGATATTGTATAAGACATGTGATATTCAATTTTCTCACATCTCTCTCTCTCTCTCTCTGTGACAGCTTGAGATAGATTCTGCTCGATGAGTCTAGAGACGTGACTTACATCTTAGAGCATTACACCTATATCCCAACGCCTTTTGCCTTCTTCCACCCTGTTGAAATGGGAAGATTGGAAAATGCTCTTCAAGGTTTTTAGCCAGTTCACGGCAAAACAGACAATATCACGTATGGTTCTATCGAACCAACGCTATTGGCGAAGTTTCCCCCTGTCGATGAGTTCGCATGAGTCGCACGACTCAAGCAGCCCCTTCTTCCGTTAAACTTCCGGTCGCTCGCTAGTCATACGATGAGCTATGTCGAATATCGAATTCAATATCCGGGCTCTTAAGGAATGTGCCTATCGGGAGCTTGGACCTCGGTTGTGTGTGGGGATTTCCAAGCTCCCGGATGAGGGCCTCTACAGCGTACAACAAGGTCTTCTCACTAAAAATGGTTGGATGGAAGAGAAGTGCTAGCAAGAATCGCGAATCCAAACGCGGGATATCCTGTGTACATTGTTGCTAGCGAAGTTGCAACGCTTGGTTTTGTAGGGGGTGGCTCTGGTCTCTCTTCATGCATGGATCTTGATCAGTGTGTGTTTGTTGTGTTGGGTTGTTGGAATTGCTGACTGGGGGGCTTTTTTTTCGTTTCAGCTTTTTATTTTTAGCCCAGTATATGCTAATGCAGAGGGTGTGGGGTTGTTAGCTTAGCAAAGTATGGCCCACGATGTTCGAGAAGCAGTGTTTTGCTTTTGTCAAGGGCGTGGTTGATATTGAAAAGGGAGACTTTTAAGCATAAAGGTTTCGGCCCATGGTGGTATTTACTATATAAAAAAGTACCTGTCCGGATGGGCCAGATGCAAAGTTTGTTTTTGGGCCGACGACGGAGTGGTCATTCTTCATTAATGGTCACCACGCTCAAGGAATCGATCAAGGTCCATGTATGTTCTGATCCAAACCCACTTGCCCCCCTCAATTGCCGATTTGGCGCGTGGGCTAAGTTGTCGATATCGATGTAGGGCATACAGCGCATGAATATCGAGTATAATCGACTGGCAAGCAGCATATATCTCACCTCTCTTCTTGCAAGCCAGGTTCCCCTCTGTTTTCCACTGCGATGACCCCTACCTGTGGGGTGCAGTGCAGCCTTCGCTCTCCTCAAAGGATTCGACACATTCTTGCCGACAGCCGCTAGAGAACAGCTCGCTTGACTATAGTTGAAAAAATTCTACGAAATGACCCTCAGACTCTTGCATGAGCGGCTGGAAGAGCATTCTTGATGCCCTTTTTTTTTTTTTTTTTTTTTTTTTTTTTTTTTTTTTTGGCCTCCCTCGAAATACTAAGTTAGCTGCGAGCACGGCCAAGCTTCGACCAATTTCAGGTTTTCAAACAATGGGTAGGTACTATCTGAATCCTTTAAAAGGCTGTGGTTGAGGAGCAGTGCTGGCGAGCTCACATGAGGCAGACGTGCCGGAAGCCTGAGGAGGTTTGGTCCGGCTCCGATGAAATGATCAATTGACTCAGGGGTAAATCCAAGGTTGCAATGACGGGCCTGCTCAAGGTCGTTCATTATCCCCTAAATTTGTCTCCCGTACCTTGACAAACAGCGTCAATGCCTCTGCCAGCCAGGGAGCTCGGACTCCTTGCCGATTGGGTGGCCAGTGATCATATTTTACTTTCTTGCGATCTTTGCATGAGAATAGCTATATCGACTCTACAGTTCAGCGTGGTGCTAGTATATTGATAGATCGTGAATTTGCATTTATCGGTTGACGGAGTCTATATCTTGAAGCATTGCGTAGATATGAAACATCACCTGGCAAAAAGGGCCAAAAAGGTCACTCTTGTTTTCCAAATGACAGTTCTCCCGGTATTACATATCCATACTATCGATGGCTGACTTCGTTTATTTATTTATGTACTGATTTTTATTTTATCAATTTTTAGGTTTTAATGCTAACGTACGTTTATTTACTTCACAATATCAAGCAACCCGGACGTACATACAATAAATAGGTTGACTAGCGTATTCCCCCCCTTTTCCACATGCCTACGTTGAAGATGAATTAGCATATTGTTAATTTTGGTTTTCCTTTCCTTTATTTTGGCGGGCGACTGAAAGGACTCCTATCGGAGAGACTTATTTCATCCTATTTCTTCTTCGCCTGCCCGGGATAAAGAGTGCGAGGAACCGGGGAAAGATTTTTACCTCTTGAATTGCGTGGAACACCTCAGACATGCCCTCTTCCGTCATCGCTGAGCACTCAACATAGGCGACAGCTTTGATCGCTTCGGCAAGCCCATGCCCTCCTCACGGGAAACCGACCGGTTCCCGTCCACGGGCTCAGGGGCATCCACAGTGGAAGGAGAGGGATTTGTTTCTGACTCCTATTCTTCTGCTTCTTTTCCGCCTCTCCTTCGCCAGCGTGATGCGTTCTCAGGTCAACTTTGTTGCCGATGATGATTTTGGGGATGCCTCTGGGATGGAAATGGTTTGCCTCCTCGAGCCAAGAAGACTCGATGGCGTGGAAGGAATGGATGTTCGTTACGGAGAAGCAGATGATAGCCGGGGAATGAGAGGTGGCGCAGACGTGCTTCTTCATAGGTAGTGTCTCTTAAATATACGGCGTAGTTTTGGCCGTGGAGTTTGAGTGGAGTTTGCAACATTCATGATAAATAGGGGCTTTCTGAACTATATGTCTAGAAACAGAAGATGTATATATAAAGAGGGGGCGTCCCGTAGCATAAATTACAAGGCATGGCCCCTTTACCGTTTTCCACCTCTTTTTAGTGGCAGTTCAGCGGGTTGGTAGAGGCGGTTGAAAAGAGAGGAAGAAAGGGTCACCATACTCACTCCATGTTTAAAGTCCGGTGATCGCAAGCATCACAAAGAGCCGGCATGCCATACCGGAGATTTGAAGCCTGATCCTCAGAACCATCTAGAAAATCCTCCATGGGTGGGACTTTGGATTTAAACAGCCTGTATAATATGGACGTCTTGCCGACCCCGCTACTACCAATAATCACGCATCTGAAAGATACATCCATGTACACGTACATCAGCTCGACCATATTGTTTCAATCATGCTCTAGTTAATGGGAATGAAGGGCTGCCTGGGGTAGGCAAACGACTTCACCTTATGGGGCAACCAGTGAGTGGGTTGCTTCGGGGTCTGTGAGGCCATGATGGTTTAACCGGGTGAGACTGATATGTAAAATGTAGATATGAAGCAGTTTATCGCTGATATTCCAACAGACATGCATGTCCAGTTGGAGTTTTAGTAGTATTGATCGTTTGGTGAAGAGCAATCAAGCTCCAGAGCTAGGGTTTATATTCATCACGTGCATCATCGATGCACTGCCTTTTGGGAGGCTGAGTATTGATATAGTTACGGTATAAAATATCACCTCAGCTTAATGAGGTTTCTAAATCTGGATTTCCCAAAATATTGTTAGACTTAGGCCACTCCACTCACTGGGCAAAAGAGCTCAATCACCACTGGTTTTTATATTGAAATGATATCTGTTTTCTCAGATTTTATATATTATATTTCATTTTCTTTTTATCACTAAATAACAGTTATTTTACTTAAAATTTCTGTGTTCTATAATTGATACTGTGATATGTATAGACTGGCCGGCGGGAGTTACAGGACTCATCATTTGTGAGCAATTATTAATCATAGCTTGCATTAGGATATAGTAAGCATAAGTTGGTAGAAAGGCCATGACTACACCTCTTCAAGGTTTTGAGAGACTCAGAGAGAGAGTTGATCACAGACTTGCTCTCATTCAAGCCTCTTCTCTTTTTGCCTCAAAATTAGTGGACAGAAAGGGGATAACAGCAGACTCACTGGCAGCCATCCAGGCTTTACTTGTAGTGATAGTGGTGCAAAAACTTGTGTTATTATTTTCAGGATTATTCTGGTATTACCGTATTAGTTAGTGGAATAAACATAGATATTGAATATCACACTGACTTACTATGATGTCAAATCTGATATGTATGGTTCAGCACAGACAAAAATAAAAATTTGGAGGGGCACCGGGCGCCGGGCGGTAAATCTTTTCAGCCACCTTATTTTAACCCGTGGACCCCCCTCCCCACTTTGTCAACTGTGGTGGTAACTAGTTATACGTTTACCCCTTTATTTTCGTTAGGGCCCCCATAATATTTTAGCGGCATGCTAACCATCATTCTGGGGGGGGATTAGACGTTTGGCCATTCTCGCGTTTGAGTGCGTTGTCATTATTAATAATTATAGGTAGTCCCCCCGGAGGAGTGAGTGTGCCTCACGTGAGGCAGCTGAGGCTTTGGTTGGCTAACTATGGTGAGGAGCTTGGGTTAAAACAAAGCTCTCTTGGATATCTAACAGACAGAAGCGGAATTTCTATATTATTCGGTCAATCATATGTATTGTACTTGTATGGGTGCAACATGAATGAGTATGGCCCCCTTGCTGCGCTCCAGCACATACCAGATACCTTCAACTCTCTTTTCAGCGATCCTGACCTGCAACGATATTTATGCTGTGTTTGCGAACAATGAAGATCGGGTCATGAAATCTCTATCCTGGAATGAATGGCAAGGCATTGGCCAAGACCATCAAAGTTTTCTTCAGTTCTAGAGGCAACTTCTCAAACCAGAACAGCTCCTAATTTGTCAGGGATATTGATCTACCAACAGATTGCGTCTATGGCAGTGTGGAAAGACTGTCGGTAGGCGACACACTCTGGCTTGGGCTGGCTGCGTCTATGATGAAATTGCGAGAAAATAGTCTTTGCCATGGAGATTCCGCGACCCTCAAGAAGATGAATTGGAGAGACGTGACAATGACGGCAAAGGAGCTGAAGGATGTATTGATCAGCTGTCCTGAGGAGCAGGCTGAAGATATTTCTATGAAACTCTGGAGCAAGAAAGTAGGAAAAAATGGTGAGTGTGGTTTCCCACCATCGGGCAACGTCACCGGGTTCCTTATCCAATTTCCAGACCCTTTTGATCTATTCATAGACTAGGTTGCGGGGTATGAACTTGTGGCATATCGTTAAGAAGTGTTTATATTCAATTCATTTCAATATCTCGTGCTAACTGGAGCCAACTTAAGCCCCAACAATAAACCCTACAATGCATTTTCTAAGAATCAAAATAAAGGAAACAAATGCGCCAAAGAGAATGAAACCATTACCCAGCAATACCTCGCGTTTTAAGAATACAGTTGGCGAGGCGAAGGTGTCACGACATCATGAGAGGTAAAACTGCAATGTGCAACACCTGCAGACTCCAATGATAACGCCGCCATCGCATTCGATACTCGAACTGAAGTTGATTTAGACCGACGGTCCTGCGTGGCCATACTCGCCCGGCTCAGAGTGGAACGAGTTTCATCATCGATCCCAGCTGCGCTAAGTCCTTCAAGGTCCTCTGGTGTAGTTGTAACTACCTCACCCCACATAACGGCCTTGAATGCTGCATCCCTATCATCCTCTGGAGGATGGCAGGCAGCGCTAATTCCAGCACTACAATTACCGGCGAGAGGCATCCGGGAGCCAAATCGTCTAATACTTATGCCAAATACCGCTATGAGTGTAAGACTTCCAAGCACCATGGCGACTATCATAGGAACTGGGGCGAAGCCCATAGAGTTCACTATGTCATTGTCGGCCAACTTCCCATCAGCGTAGAAGGGAATTTCCTGCACGAAAGACAGACTTTGTGATGCCAACCAGTGCAGGACAACAAACGCTACAATCAATGGCATGCCATATTTGTATGGAAGGCTAATATAGAGCTCCGACCGTTGTTTTCCTTGGGGTTTGGTGACCCGAAGATAACTGCGATGCAAAGCGTACCCATTGTATTCGGCAGCAAGGAGCATGGATGTTAAAAGGTTGTTGTAAAGGAAATAGGAGATCGAGATCACAAGCTGGGGAGTATTCGCAAGAAGCATCAATGACATGATATCTTTCGAGCGGCCGGATTTCTGCCAAAACATCGAGGTGGCCGAACCGGGCTTGACGGAGTGGGCGGAAAGTCCACTGAAACTTCCTTCACTATTTTGGGACTTGCCTGAGCCGAATACAATGCGGTGCAGGTAGATGGCAGCTGCCAGACTGGCAAAGTACCTGATCGATTTAGCTAGTTAGCAAACTAATAGCCCGGCATTTGTATCAGGTCGAATACTTACATTGCAACGATTATATACCAATGGAACGAATTTATCGAATGAAGCCATCTTTTAGGCCGAGGTAGACGTTTTGGAATATTAACCTGAGAATAACGCGTACCTGAAGAGGCTGTAAATGCCCTTGTATAGACGTTTGACTTTGACGAAAGACACCGGCCTCGGCTGTTTGGGTCAGGCCGACTTAGAAACGACGATATTGCGTCTCCGATAGTCAGCAGTACATCGTCCCTGGAATCATAGGCCGACATGAACATGGAGGCAAGGTTGACAATATTGAGAGCGAGGACGATAATTGCAATTGGGAAACTGAACCTGAGCTCGCAAATTTCAGGTATCTTCTCGCTGAGGCAAGCTTCTATTCTAAAAATTTTGGTTTTCTCGTTTTCACTGTCACTTAGGTATCCGCATTGAGAAATTTCCTCGACGGTGATTGCATTGGCCCATGAACTGTTTTGCCAATTCTGGGCATCACGAAGGAAATCAAGGACGCCGTCAATGTTTTGGTCCTTTGCAATATATCGATAAAGCGTTTCCATATCGCGACAGAGTATATCAGGTTCGACCAGTGGTTGCCTATAGCAAGGTGAAACCTTCGCAAACGTATTTCTATTGAAGATTATTGTTCCGTTCTGACTGGGGGCTGTAATATTCAACAGCTTAACTTTCAACGGTGAAGCTGTAACTTTCCAGTTCTCAGGGTCAATCTGATCGCCCTCACACTCATTCAACGCCTCCTCGCCCCGACATATCCAGTCAAAGTCTCTGCTTCCTTCTTTAACAGGGATTCTCGGACCGCTTCCAGTGCCAGCGTCCCAGACAGTGATATTGTCGTTGTACAACTCATTCGTCAAGAGAATAAGAGCGCTGCGGTCTGGCAGATAGTCAACGGCGAATGTGTCAATACATTCCCGTGGTGAAAGGCGTTCAAAGGAGCCTTGAGGCACTGAGTGGAGAAAATCAGGATTATCCTTATCGAGGGCAGACCTAACACATTCGCTGGCCGCAAGGCTGGCATCGCTTTCGTTGGGTGTTACCAAGACTTTGTATTGTTGCACGGCAGTGGACGCGAATACCACGGAGTTGTATCTGGATGTACCAGTGAGAATATGTCACTTATGGCATTGGATACTGAAGACACTAACATAATGTGGATTGGTAGTGAAGTAAGGAGCAATACCAGCCATAGGCCCAGTCTTTTATATCCGACAAAACGAAAGTTGCCGATGCTGGCCGTTCCGATTTCGAGCCACCTCCCTTGATTGTGTGCGCGATCAGTATCCGCTCGGGATGGCGAAGCCAGGCATTGCATGCAATAGCTGCTCGTGGCAAGCGTCACTGCACACAAGCAGTTGATGAAAAAGTGTAGCCCCGTAACCCAGTTTCTCGAAACCGAGCATTTACCCTTATATATCGGAGCGAACATTAACTCCATGCTTCCATATTCTCCGTACGCTCTGACGATAGCAGCGAAGGTGATGATGACATTGACGAGCAGGACGACACACGCAGAGTAAGCACATATAAGAGCTCCCCTGATCCATTTTCGCTTGTGCTGGGCCTTGTCCAGGCTTGTTTCTGGCTCATTGGGATTTTGCCTGCTAGCATAAGCGGTTTTCAAGTCGGAATAGACGGAGTTTGATCGAGCGGTGATGGATCCTGGCAAAGTATCGGTTCTTCATATAACATCAATTCGATCAGTCTTTCTATATATACCACACCAAACCGTGTGGCGGGGTTCACCCGCTATGCTGGACCTACCTTTCTGTGTACATCAACTCTGTCTCATCTGAAACTCTTCCCGAATGATAGTTTCTACCCGTCCTCCGGAATGGTAGGATAGGCGAGAGCCATCCATCCGCCTTTCGTTTTGACGAAGCCAACGGTGCGTCATTGGGAGTATGCCGCCTCGCCGTAAAAAAATGCTGTCGGGCGTCTCCAAGGGATTGATACTTCATGCTGTTCCAAAACACGTGCGCTGTGCTAGGCCGGAGGTTGAGAGAATCTGTCGTGCTGCATGCGACGATGGAAACGCACCACCTGCAGGGAACTATTCCTCCATGTTGTCCCATACAGAAACTGCTTGCTCAGACCTGAAAACAAAAGGACAGAAAAGGAGCATCTTATGAAATTGGACCTGTCAGCCTTCACCGAACAGTGAGTTGAGAATCAGGACAGGGAATGCTGCGGCCTCGACTGCGGGACCTGGATCCTGCTTTCTCGGAGACATCCTGATCATCGTTGATCAACAATGCTGGTCTTTCAGAGGACCAGCGAGCTGCCTCTTTATTTCCGGAGATATCTCCCTGATTGGCTGAGATATTTAGTTGAGCCAGTCCTGCCTCTGTCAGGAACCAGGAACAATATCTATCCGTGGCAGGCTGACGCCATTATTATTGGTAACTAGCGGCGCAGACCCATCCTACATCACACAATCCTTATTATTATTACGGAGTGCAGAAAATAGACATCCTCAACTGACTGACTAGTCGGAAGCAATTTCAGCCTTTGTTTAAGTAACTAGCTGGCGGCCATTGCGCCCACTAGTTATCCTTGGATCACCAACGTTCCCAAATTACGGAGGTGTGGAACTTACAGCGTAGTTAAGTCCTTGCACACGCTAGAAATTTATTTTGAAATCCCAATATTGGAGTCAAATTGTTCGGGAGGCCAGGCCCCTCCCTACTACGTATATAGGCACTTATAGCACTCAATAGTTGCCCAGCCAGCTGAGAGTCAGAGAGATAGACATCATAGGCATCAGCAGGGACCATAATCACCTCCAAACTGTCCAGAAGGGATGGTAACCCTTTTTACCACTTTAAATTACTAGTGTTTGCAAGGACTTAAATAATTAAGTTCCACACCTCCGTATTTTCCCCGGTTTCGTATCTTTTAGTATCTCAATAGATTATGAAGAACATTAGTATTTTATTCTTATGAGTTGTCCTCTGGGTCTTTTTTTTCGTCTTACTCACCCACTTCCTAGTGTCAGATTTTAGGGGAGGTAGGCTTGGTCGCTGGTCAGAGCGAACCCTGATCGGTAGTGTTAGGGGTTTGTTTCTTCACCAAGAATAGCATCCTGTGAAACTGAAGATCTTGCTGACATCTTTAGTTTCCCTCACGCATAGGGAGCTGGCTGACACTGTAGGCAAGCCGCTAGCATTGATACACTGAAGGGCGTCGGAGGGAATGGATGCCCGCATACCTCCTATATATAATCCACACAACCTAGGACAAAAATATCGTCTTGTTGAGTCAAGTATAGCGCTCTGAGGCTTGATACTTGACTAACCGAAGCTTTGAAATACATAATCCGTATTCTTCCATATACGAACGAGGCCGTCATTCAGATCCAAAGCTGTAGTCAACCCTTAGATTTGGTGGGCTGTCGCATCTGAAGCACGGATGTTCCTTCAACTTCGAAACTTCATTGTCATGGGCCTTTCGTTGCCTTTTGCATATTTCCCTTGGACGAAAGTTCACTAACCTGCTCCTCTCATACAGGCATTCAGCTCCGAATCTAGCAGTGGCCGAAAGCCTTGACCAACCCTCAAAGTGACCGCTGATATCGCTTCCGTCACGGGCACCGGGTTAATATCCCTAGACCTGGAGGCTGGCAACGGTTCAGTTAGTTACTATGAACGTCAGAAACATTGCGAAGAGGAAGTCATGCCCATTTCATCAACTCTTAAAAACCTGGCCGTGAATTTTCCGACTCATGTAAAAATTTCATCAATGCTGGGAACTTCGACCCTGGACTACCTACCTACGCGGAATCCAGCCTTGTTTCTTACAATAAAAAAGGAGTCTCTAGTTGAGACGAAAACTCAAGAAAATAAAACCGGAGAGAGAAACCACAAGAACTTCCGGGGCCGGGCCTCCAACATGTTAATCAAATCCCTATATCCATCCCTTCAAGTGAAGCAAAATATATCAAACTGAACAGATCATTTCGCGTGAAAATAGATGTTTGCCACTCTCTGAAAGCTGTCAAAGACGCGGCTGCTTTTTGGGTGCTTAGCCATCTATTGAACCAATGACTACTAGAGACGCTTTGAGCACTGCTGTCCAGGAAAGGACACTCAGCAGGGAGGGATCGATGATTTACGCAAGATGCATATCCGTAAGTCTCTAGACCCATTAGGTCGGCCACGAGCGGTACTCCATTCATATCTCCTTGGGGATATTCTAGGTTTACCGAGACAGCTAAGTATATATATGACAGGAAAGATATCACCAGGTTGGCATTTATGATTTACTGTGTTATTTAGGGCTTGTATGTTGTCTCTGCAGGATGAGGGCATCCTTGTTTGGGGATGAATTTGCTCAATGTCAAGTTTTGTGACATGTCTACATGTGATCCGCGAGAGGTATTTTCCATCCTCAATTCTACCAAAGCCACTTTAGGTACATACATTCCTTATCCAAGGTGGAAGTATTACTCATGCAATCGCGGGCTTTGGGGTGGCTTTGGGGTGAACTCCCCCCAGAAATTATCCTATGTGGTCTGAGAGATCTGAGCAAGTAATTGCATTCAAGCACTCCGATTGCCTAGGCGTACCTATCACCTTCATTCAAAGGACGCCGTTCATACCCAAGAAAATCTAAAATAACTCTACCTCTAATTTTTAACCCCCTTTTTTCCTTTCCGTCTCATTCTCATAGTACAGTGGGACCATGCTTATCAATAATTACCCGATCAAGATCGGCTCCCAGCCCGCCACAAACTTTCAAACTCGTTGCCAATTTCCTTTTCAATTCTCTCCTCCAGCTCGCGGATGCTCAAGGGTTGAGAACGTTTACTCAGCGTCATGCCCATAGCCGTCGCATTTTCGCGTTCCAAGAGAACTAATGAAGTGAACAAGGAAATGTAAGTCGAAAACTACATCCCTAGAACAATAACAGAGTAGAGAAAAGCGGAGAGAGCAAACTTACTATGTATTTCAACTGCAGCTCTCTTCCCACTAAACATTGCATGTTCAACATTGGTGCTATCGTCGTTATTACAATCCCCGACGGCATATACACCCGGCATACTTGTGCCCATCCCCCTAAAATTATTATCAATCTTTCCATTAACCATTCTCAGCCCCAGCTTGTAGGGTAGGTCGGAGCATTGCTTGGAGTCGAACGCTGTGAAGAATGCAGATCGATTCACAGGTTGAGCGCCGCCTTCGAAATGGACCGTGAAAACGTCGAACTCTGATTGGTTCCGAGAATCGAAATGAGTTCCACCGTCTTGAAGGCGGGTGATGTTCTTGATGGGGGAGTAGTTGTATGTGATGCCGTAGTATGTTTCGAGCCCATATGTCTCACTTGCTGGAAGCTCCGTGCCATTCGTGAAAACCATAATGTCGTGGTTTATCGTGGCGATATGCATTATATTGTCCAGAGTGCTTGTCACATCGCCCAGGATACCAATGGGCTGGTCGCGGTGCTCAAACCCGTCACACCAGGGACACCAATAGATCCCCTGACTCCAAGCTTCTCTTATACCAGGAGTGTCTGGGAGAACGTCTTCCATACCCGTGGCAAGGATAACTTTTCGCGCCAGTTTAGTAACTGGGGAAGAAGATCCTTCGCTGCCCATATCGATCTCTACCTTAAAGTGTGGCAGGTTATCAGAGGAATACTTCACGGGAGTAATCTCCAAAACTGTGCCATTTTTCATTTCTGCTGTTGGATATCTCTGAATTTGTTCGCGGGCTATGTGCCGAAAGAATGACGGATCCACGCCTACGAAACTATCAACAAAACCGAACTCCCTTTAAGGGTATGCGAGGAATGATGTGCATTTCACATTTACACACCATCATTGCTAATGACATCGTGCATATGTCTTGTCAACAGGTTGCGGTATTTCCCAGAGTCGACCATCAACGCCGTTCTCCGGACTCGGGATAAGCCACTCAACGCGCTGAGACCAGCGGGACCACCTCCGACGATGATGACATCGTAATCGACGGGGGGAACATTGCTTGCGATAGCAAGTGTCAGAAAGAAGAACAGAATCAATAATCCAGATGCAGAGTGGATCATAGACATAGTGGATTAAACTGCGGCGATAAAATGTTATCGGAAGAACACTCTTTTTGACTAGGCCACTAGGTCTTTTTGAAAGCCTTAGAGGTGGGAGAGTTTACATCGTGTAACTCGTCTTCCCCCAGACAATACAAACGACAGAGCGGCGGCTTCCTCTTTGAAGAGCTTCCAGTCCCCTACCCTCGCAATGGCCCAGTCTTAGTCCATAGTGAACTGTGATGCCCCGCGAAGGGCTGGAGGAAGTTGCGTTAGAGTTAGAGCAACGGCTTCATATTGCTGACGTGTACATGTACATGTGCCTCTCCCCACACATCTCTGTGTAAAATCTATCACATAGATGTATTCTAGAGAATATGTACTCCTCTTTGTATCTTTTTATCACATCATTCCCTTCTAGATAGAAAATAGAGGAATCAATTGATTCTCCTTCTATGATACTTAGGTTTGCGCTCGGGTTTGTAGAGCGCGAACCCTACTTAAAGTAGGTGTAGGGGTGTGAGAGAAACTTTGATGTCGCGCTTGCTGTTTGCGACAGGCGCGGAGGGTAGTTAACTTGGAGCCGCTAAAATGTTTCGGCCCGATCATGCAACACCAACCTACCTTGTGCCAGGGTATGTAACCTAGCCGCTCGGGTGCGGCCAGCACTATCGATACGTGTTCCGGGTATCATGGCTTCTAGTCATTGGTGAGGATAGACTCAGATTATTGTTTGATCAAAATATCTCTTAGAAATGTTGGTGTCAGGTTCCAGAACCCCAAAAATTGTGACTTGATAGATTACAAGGCAGTTTGGCAATTGCACTTATGGTTTCACATTGTAACTATTATTCGTTCTACCGGTGCCTGACGATCATTTAGAGGAAGCATGTATATATACCGTTTAAACAAAAGAAGGAAACTGCCACAAAATGTATTCATAAAGGATGACGAGCATGCTAGGTGATGCTGCAAATGCAATTGGTGAATATGAGAAATGAAACGGAAAAGACAATTAAAGACACAAAAACCTGGAAACGATAGAAAAGTAAGTTGTTTCATGGTCGAGGTACGGTTTAACGATCGTGAATGCATATTTATATATGCATGCGGATTTTGAGCGGGAACAAAAGATGATTGAAATTTCTTAGGTATCATTGAAGTGCGGAGAAATGGAGAAAAAAGGACAGATGTATAAGCTCTCAGTTCCTTCTCGGAAGAGCATAGTATTGGAAATAACCGTGAAAACTCCAACAGTAGGAATGAACGAACTCCCAAGAAGATAAGAGACATAAAATAGCCTTTAAAACATCGAGCTCTTTTTCCTGGTTAGCGTGTTTTGACGACCATCGTCCTTCTTAAATAGTCCGAAAATACTTCGTTTTTCTTTCAGCTGGGGATTAGATGACCGCTGAGCCCCGAACTGTGGCGGCGCGAAATTGTGCGACGGAGCGGGGATGTAGGATGAATAGCGGTGGCGCGCAATGGAGTTGGGATTGGTAGATGCAGGTCGCGGGGGTAGGTTAGGCCTTGGCGCCTGAAGGCTTTGTGAGTGTTGCCGCCTATGCCGCGCTTCCTCTTTGCCGTATATTTTCTTGAGGCGTTCCGTTTCTTGGTCGATGGCAGCCTGTCTTCTTCTTGCTTCCCGCTGCTCTGCTTCTAGCAGCCGTTTTGTCTCTTTCTCTGCCTCTTTTTCGCGACGACGGCGTTCTTTCGCTTCAGCTTCCGCTTCCTTTTTTAATCTGGCAGTCTCTGCATCGATTTCCCATTGGGTGCGAGGATCAGCTGGGGGTGGGCGGGTTTGCCGTTCTGGGATGGAAACCTGGGGCCTTTGGGGTTTCGTAGGTGGCTGTGACTGATTTGTTTCCTGTGAAGAGATGGGCTTTGGACCAGATGTGATATTGGGATTGGGGGGATCGGATATGTGAAAAGTTTCGCTCATTTGACCAAAATATACATCTCGAATGACAATGGCGCCTAGCAGAAGGACTACCTCTAGTCCCTTAAAATCTTCAATTTCTACCCGATAAAGATTTGGTTCATATAAAGTCACCTCTTTAAATCCCCGTAAGATGGCAATAGTTATATCAGGCTCTTTGCTCTTTTTATCATCTAGTTTCTTTCCAGACATATAGCAATTAAGATCCCTTGAGAGCTTCCCATCCTTGCGCCAGATAAATTTTAGTTTTGGAGTGATATCTGATGCGGCGGGATCGCTCATTGTCCGATCGAGGGTAGAGTTTGAAGGTTGTCTGAAGGTCTGCTGCGGCATTTCAAACTCCCATGACGCTGCAGAGTTCCATGTCTTCGGTCTGTGGCGAACAAGGACCTGCTGATCGGGGTTGTATAACTGTATAATGAACACATTCGGTAGTATTGGTTCTGGAGGGGGGGGAACTCCACCGTTCTGCCGAATGGCTTCTTGCGACGACGACGGCTTTGTCCATTTAGGGATCAAAAGAACCTCAGCATAGAGGACATCAGGAGAGTAAGGATCATAGATGCCCGCGGCATAGCGGTTTTTAGATCCCGGTAGCGAGGGATCAAGGTGCCGGAGGGTATAGGCGGGTGTAGGTTCAGCACCGTGTTGCGCGAAAAAGAAGGAAGAGTTGAACTTGGGTTTTTCGTTAGAGGGCTTGACGAAGAAGGCTGTTGAGTTTATTAGCTACTTCACTATGTCCAAATACAGTAATATAGCATAGGAAATCGTACTTGGCAGATTTTCATCCAGCATCTTGGAAGCTGTAGACGATCTCCTCTGAGAGTTAGGAACAAGATTGCAAAAATGCGTTCAGGGATAGAACTGGATGTTTGGGTTCGAGAATGAATTTAGGTGAGCCAAACCATGTCCTGGAAGTGGGAGACAAACGATAGGCGGACTCTGTACTCTCCTGAAACTCGAGAGAAAGAGAGGATTCATCGGATATAATGTAGTAGCTGCTACTGGAGAGCTCTGTAGTTATTCCGCCCCACCTGCAACAAGGCTGGGGCATACGCAGTACACATGAACGTTGGTGCCAAGAAGTTGATCATGGTGCCAACTCGGGCCGGAAAAACAGCTCGGCGTGGTTCCAACCTGATTTCAACTTTTGACCCATGGCAGTACCCCATTAAAAGCACATACACTACGCTCGAGTAGACATAATCCAGCACATCATAATATTGATTTTTCATATTTACAGAGATTTAGACTGGATTAGTAATAGTGAGTTGTGTATTTTTAGAGGGAGCGCTAAAGTTGAACCTGTGGCCAGAAAAGTGGGCCACGTTCAACTGTAACCTGGCTGTGGCTTGCTCATGCGTCACTGTCTTATGTCATCTACTTGGCGCCAAGATTCAGTCGTACTTTTTATGGCTTAGCGTCTGCTTCTGCCACGTTCCTGCCTGAGCCGCAAGGCGGAAGCCTAACTTTAATTAGACCGATTATCTGCGGACTTTTCTTTTAAACCCCCCAAGCTCTCCTTGTGGATTCATACCAGAACGCGTGGAGCGACCGTTGAACTAACGGACGAAAAATGGAAGGGAGCAGGAACAGCGGCAATTGCGGACATTTCCGATAGGGGAAATCAGGGGGAAAAATACCAAGAACAAAGGAATGTTGTGCTAGCTACATTCTATTTCATGTGTTGTAAGTAGAGGGACCATCCGTTGCGCTCATGAAAGACAACCTCCCGACCAGCGGCAGGATTGTTAAGAAGGATCGTCTCTTTCTTACGGGAACACCGGCCTCAATCTAATTTTAGCAACATTTTTTGGATAGGCCCGTAAGCCTCTCTTCATGAATACACGAGATTGTAGGAACGATTTTTTCAGAAAAGTTTCAAATTCATAGCGCAGCACTTTACCCAGGAATTTATTTCTTTTCCCATCCTGTTACGAACCTCTCTAGCGGTCCTCTTGCAGAGCTTTGGAAGTATGTTCGCAAAAGCCGCCTGAAATAGCAATATCATCTCAATCGTGCTTGGGCTTGATGTTGTGGTAGCAAGAGTACGCCAGACACATCTAGTAGGTAGTAATATCGAGCTTAAATCACAGGACAGAACATCTGGTGGTTCCAAGCCACTAACAGGGCGACATCCCACCGACATCCATGCAGGGTGAATTGGCATCAGAGCTCCAATCGCTGATGATGCCGGTACACGTTCCTTCTGCCGCGCAAGCTGCATAATACTACAAGAAAAGCATGGAATTTCCAGTATAGAACCTAGGCTGATCACTCCATTACGAGTGCGTTACGAATTCATTATGAATGACGAATACTGTGCAGTATAAGGTACTAAGAGAGAGTTTGTACCTGAGATTGGTTGCGCGTGAAGAAGGCCATTCCGACTCTCAATCCTTTGAACTAGTTTCAATCGTCCGCTTACAAATAACTAGCACAGTCTTTCGATCGCTGAAATTCCAGCGCCAAAATATCTATGCAACTTTTTGGTTTTCCGCAAAGTTAATCTATATAGCGTGCTAGGTGAAGATATCTATGTATCTGTCTCGCCGAAGCAGCGGCCTGGTAGACAGTTCTCACCCGCGAAAAGGAAATAGCCGCAATGTTGTCCCCGGGAAGCCGAAGCATGAAATACCAGGTGCGAGGACCATAAAAAACTGGGGGAAGAAGAAGAAGAAGAAGTGAAATATCAGCGCGAAAAATCTATATTTATGGCCTTCATCTATGCATCTGACATTTAATCATCTAAGCAATGACTCTCACATCCTCGGCCCCGTCTGCTATAACAACCTTCTCCCCCGCATTCTCTTCAATATCGACACCGGCTGGCCCCTTCTTCGCCGCTTCCTGCTTAGCAAATTCTAAAATCTGATTCTCCCAACCTGTCATAGCCTGAACGAAGAATTGCTTCTGCAGGTCACGGGAGGGCGCCTCGGCCGGTCTCCCACGGCGTGTGCGTGACTCTCGTGTTTCTATGATGCTGGCATTGTCGCCGTCCACGGGGCGACCGTATAGATCATCTTGGTCCACGGAGGCGGCGAAGGTGTAGGTGCGGTATTCGGTATTGCGCCATCCGGTGCCTGGGTAGGTGGGAGAAGGGCGGATATTAGTATAGTTACTGGGGCTAGGTTTCATGTTTGTAACTTTTTTTCCCGCGAAAGAAAGGTCACGCATAAGCTTGTTGGTTTGTGATTTTTTATTTATTTTTTATTTTTTTGGTAGGGATTTGCACAGGAGTGATTAAGATGGTGAAAGGTGATCGATCCCAAGGCAGGGCAGATAAAATAGTGGTGAGATTAAATACCTTGGTAAAGTGTGCTATCTTCCCAGTCCTCCGTGAAATAATGTAGAAATCCTCCATGCGTTACAATCACAATCTCCTTTTCCGGTCGAGCTTTTAACCAACGTCGCGCTTCCCTAGCACGATTCGCAATCGCCTCAGCACTAGGTGCCCATTTTTCTTTCTACACATATAATAAAAGGAGTCATATTAGCCCACGTTCCTCTGTTCAGCTATTGTATGGCCGGAAACCAATCCGACACAGCAAAATAACGGACATCCAAATCCGAATCCCTAACTCACCTTCGAATTCCAATCCTCCCCTACTAATTTCAAATCTACCGGGAGCCCATTATCATCCACCTCCTTTTGCAGCACTGTCAAGTCACTGCCAACATCGCATGGCACGTCGCTCGTCTCTTGGATCTCTGGCAGCGCAATGATCGTCAATCCCTTATTCTTAATTTGATCTTCAAATGCTAGTAACGCGGTGTATATCGTGCGTCGGAGAGGGGAGGCAACGACGAGGTCGATCTGGGAGTGGTGCGGGAATTCCGCGCTGAGGTCTCTACATTGCGATTCGCCGTGTGGGGTTAGGAGGGGGTCCGGGATGATGTGGTTGGCGTGGCTGAGGTTATGAAAGCCCTGGAGATCCCGCCGTCAGTGGAGAGATTGGGGATGTAGGATGTAGAGCAGACGGGGGGACTAACCTGTGCATGACGGACACAGTGAATGATTGGTGACATCTCTAGATCTATGATATATACAAAAGGGGATTTCGAGGCGAAAATAACAGTGTCCGATACCGCGGCAAATGTTCCAGGCTGGTGAAGCGCGGGGTAGGTATGTATGTATGTACTGTAGTAGGAAAAAGCCTTCAGTTAAATGCAGTATATTCTTCGTCTAAATGCGTATTGGATAAATAATGAATGAATGAATGAATGAATGAATGTATACTGAATAATATAAGATGTCACAACAGTAAATTGAATTCATTGTCTATATTGGAAAGACTCTTGACTTTGCGACGGCGAAACGTAAAGTTAGTCATAATAACCGTGGGGCAAGTTTTGGGCTTTCACCCCCCCACTAGATCTACCCAATGGCATGGAGGATTTATTACATGGCGGTTGAAAAGGGCGGGCATAGTCTTTCGGTGAGCGCTCGGTATGTTCTGATTGCGACAATGACAACTGAGTATTTCCAAAGCCCGCAAAATCAACGTATATATCTTGTATGAATAAATCTTCGCTTGGCATGTCGAGAAGAGCAAATTGTTAACAAAGAAACCCGGAAGCAGTCACACTCGCCTCGCAAAGAAGAAATATATCCCAACACCCAGCCGGGTCTACCAAACCTGATATCCCTCCTTTCGTTCTCTTAATAACCGTAGCCTCAAAAGCAACAAAAATTAGGTATAAAAACGTGCAAGAGGGAAAGAGCACTAATAAAACATAACGTGTCGAAAGGTAGGTATTTGCCTCGCTTGCATGTCAAAAGGTATATAGAGTAAAAGAGACGCAGTTGCATGGAGTAGATGTCAAAAATCAAGCACGTCTTTAGGCCCGTGCAATCAAAAGGACATGAGGAATTCGTTGGAAATCAATGCCAGGAAAGAAATCAGTCCATGCATCTCACCATACATTAGGCGACCCCAAATCCTCTTGCGTTCTCAAGAGCTTTTTCCAACTTTTCCTCGAGAATGGCTCGGTTGGAATACTCCGGGAGCAGGAGCCTGCCAAAGCATGTTAGGCTCGTCGGAAGGCGCTGTATCATTGGTTAGCTTCCTGCACACAAGCCAAGCCCAGTTATTATAAAATTGTTAAGGGTTAGTAAGTTACGTACGTTATCCCCAGTACCATTCCTCTGAATCACGAACATGATACTAGAAATGCCGTTGACCGGCACTCGATCGCTAGCCGTGACGAACTCCAGCAGCTGACGTTTCCTTGTCTGCGGGTATCGCTTCACTATGGACCAAAAGTCGGAGATCACACGATGATTAGGTTCGAAGCCGCCTTCGTACCGGGCATTGTGCTCGAGCTCTTCAATGTCAATCTCCTGGATCCCTTCGATGACAGTTTTCAATGCTTCCGGTGTAAATATTGATAGCGCCGTTCGATCTAGACAGGTATAAAAGCCTCGGGCGAATGCCTCATATTGCGGGCGGACGGATTTGTCTGTCAGCCAGAAGATATAGTCCTTGACAAATCGTTCTCGATTCGCGTTCGTGACCAAAGCGGCTTCTTGTGGAGGCGAAGGTGGTGTAGCTTTGTAAGTTCTTGAAGAAGCCCCTTTCAGTATCCCAGAGAGCACCCCGTCTCTCTTCGATGTGGAATTTTCATCGGCCGATTCACGGAGCATTGACGTATTATCATCAAAACTCCCAGGTTGACTTGTTTTCCCTGACCATGATTGTCGGTAATACGATCCGCTCTTTTTCCGTTCCCAGGCTGACCGTTCAGGGGCAGGCCATGGTTCATTGCGATCAACTTTCTCCATGTCGACAGACACGAAGGTTCCAAACGCATCAAAACTAAACTCATAAGTCCTCATGAAGATGTCGCCAACATCTCCATCATCCCATGATAATAGGTCATCCAAGCCCTTGGCAAGCTCTGGCCAACCGACTCGGATATCATCGAGATTTTTAACTCTCAATCCTAGTAGTTTCTTATACAACGCAACTGGAAAGTTAACCGGAAGGGTCAAACCGTTATAAACAGCAAGGGACATCAATAGCCCTAATAACTCGAACTTGTACAGCGGTTCCATCGAACACGGCTGAAACCAAGACATGCGAGTTCGCATGTCCATCGTAAACATCCCGTATGATGGGTCCAATGCCTCTCCAAGAGCTACGCGGAAAAACTCTTGCTGCACACCACCGTGATCGATACCTTCTTCCCCTTCGTCCATACCCATTTGAACTTTAAGGGGCCGCATTAGCTCACGTCTTTCTCGTCGCCACAATTGATTGAGAGCGTCGGTAAGGACATTATCACGGCGTACAACTAGAACCAGATATGTCGAAATGGATGTTTTCAATCTTGCAAGCAGACTAACATCATCATCTATCGGTATGATACTCGAGAATGCCGGCTGAGTAACATGTCGTGAGGTAGTCATTGCGGCTTCATATGACTTGGACATGTTAGAATAGTTAATAGCCCGGAAATATATCACCAAGGCGGACGGAGGAAATAAGAAGGGATAGGATAAGAGATGCACTGTTCGGTTATTTGGGAGGATTCCGAGCCATTCAACAGGCATTTCCGTCGGGTCTAACCGCTCGGAGAGGAAAGATGTATGGAAGTCTTCAGGCTCTAAACCAAGTCTAAAGCGTTCTTTATACATTGATGCAAGGAGTTGCAAAGCGCCCCCAAAGGCACCGGACTTGGCCATTTCGGGTTTGCCGTCCCATTCCTTCAGCAAGAGGCTCCGTAGCCATTCCACAGCTACCATATGGGGATTGGTAGGTCGCTCGTCGTGTAGAAAGGAATAGGATGTTTGTGAAGATTTTTCATTGGTCTTGGAGAAGTCACGGAGAGTTCGTATGATCAGCCTCGTAAAGTCATGTTTCTCTTGTCGCTCAATATCGTGGATGTTAATGGTTCGGGTCTTAGAAATTTCGTGGAAGGCCATACGCGCAGAGACCACCCGAACCAGGCGATTTACTAATCGGAGCGCGAGGTCATGCTCAAACATTTCTGAGATGGCCACTAATGATCTCCTAGTAGACCGAGGATGCTTTCTCATCTCAGAGTCAGGTAAAACGGTACCGGAAGAGCGGATATGGCGAATGATCTCCCATGTTTTCGGGTCAGTTTGCGGGATGAAGCTTGATAAAGCTAGTAGCGTGATAACCGAAATGTAAGCGGCATCGCTATCAGAAATGTAATCTTCAGGAGTGTCGGTATTACAGGGTGGAAAAAACCCATGTTTCGAAACAGCGCGGGACGAAGAAGCGACCCATCGGACAGGGAGCATATGTGGCCTGGGCAAGGAAAATTCCCGTGGTGGAACAAAAAGCTTCGCGAGAGAAGTCCACAAGCTATGCAATGTGGTTTCCCACGGACATATTCGATGCAGGACACGAAAAGAGTTTTCTACTTGTTCGATATCCAGTGTGTTCGCGTTCTCCCGACGGTCACTTTCCGCTGAGGTTGGGGAATCCTTCCGGAAGGATTGAACAAGTTGACGAGGACTGCTTAGAACATAAAACACACTCTGCACAACAAATGGGAACACCTCACGCTGGCGGGGAGTTGCATACTGCCAATCCCAAGGTTCAGAATATCCGCGAGACTCCAATTCTGACATTTCTTCGATCCACTTGTCTCTATCTTCGTCGTTTTCAAACATTAACTTCGCTAGTCCAGTCACTATCTGCTCTGATAAGTGAGATAGGGTCTGGATTTGTTGAGGTATAAATAGTTTGCCGTTGTTGGCATCTCTGGATACTGGAATTTCCGGGCTTTCGGTTGGAGACTGTGAGTGTTGTATACTGTAGTCTATCGATACCCGGCTGCTGTCGCACTCAGCGCTTTCCGATTTCCTTGGGCCGTGGGACCCATCCCACGAGACGCGCCTATGCCGCTTCTGCTCTGGCTTCGAAGTGTTGCTCACATCACTTGCATTTTTATGTTTCTGTGGTCGTTGCTTTAAAGGTGGCGGAGACTGTAAGGATCGATTAGGTTGGTTTGACGGAGTGTTATGCGATGAAGCCTTTCGGGGTTGTTTGCGTTCAGAGCGTACCCTGTCCTCGGCAAAGGCTTTCGAAGGCTGTTTCCGGTGCTCCATTTCACCAAGGGACAGGCGCTTTACAGGTTGTCCGGGGATCTTTACCTCAACCGCCGTCGGTTGTGGATTAGGATTGGAAGATGTAATAGTTTGAGGGCGGGACTTAATATTAGGATGCGAAACGACCTGCTTCTGTCGACTATTTCGTTTTGGGTTACTTGGATGCTCTTGGCTTCTACCTGGTGTTTCAGTTCCGGGAGGCTTGGATGGCGAGCTACCATAATCGTTGGGGTCAGACGAGACTGTATCGAATGCCTCGTGAGATCGTCGCAGAGGTAGCCACTCCACCATGCGCAAGGAAAGAGTGTCGAAAAGATTTTGAGTAAACGATTTCGGATCTTTTAATCGCTGCGAACTTTTGCCGTCTTCGCTTTGTGGTGGGCCCGGCTTCTCGTTCGCTTCGGTAGATTTTGTAGTCCTATTATTCCCGCGATGTTGCTGGTGTAATGTATCACCCGCTGGCTTCTCTTGGGCGCCATTATCCTCCGCGTTATTGTGGCCTTGAGCGTCAGAGGAGAACTTAACACTTTGTTGGGACACTTCACATGACCGTCTCCTGTGTCGTCGGATCCCATCTCCTGAGAGGAAGTCGGTGTTGGTGGCCGGGGTATTACGACACAAACCTCTCTCCGGGTTATCCTGGCTAGCTAAGTAGCAGGCAACTGTTCGCGCACTCAGTTCGGTAAACCTGCGAAGAGGCGCATCCGTAACTCTCCTGCGATAGCTAAAACATGTAGGGGTGGCGCAGAACGGGTCCTGGCAGCCGTAGAGGAGCTGGTTTTTATACCTAAAATAGAAGCCGTAAGCAAATAGCTAGGATGGCAAATGCCTGTGTCGAACAAACAAACCGTTTAACAAGGAGATTGAAATCTCTCTGACGCTTGTCTCTATTCCATGCTAAGACTCCTGCGGGATCTGTCACAGCGATAGTATTTTTGGCCAGCAGCTCCGGGGCGTCGGCGGGGAGCTTCGATGGATGGTAGAGTCCCCTGTCTCCAACGGACGCGGATCGCCCCGAGTCTGGCGGGCTCCCAGAGCCTCCCCGAAGCCTGGTCATGGTGTAGCAGTGTGTATCATATCTGAATGCGATAATGATACGAAAGTATGCAGCAGAAGGCGGGTAAATGTTGTGGTAAAAAAAAAAACGCCTTGGATGAGGCCCAGAAGATGCCTGATAGCAAAGAGAAGAAAGAGGCTCTGGCGTCACAGGATGACAGAACCGCCAAGAGGCTAGCGCCACATCCAGCGATACTCTGCGTATTGTACTGTACTGTACTGTCACCCCGCCCAAAAACAACGTCATTAGCCACAACAGCCGAGATTTATTTTGAAAAGTATTCAACGCAACTTGATTTGAAACTCGACACCGAGAGAGACAAGACATCCGCAAACCAGGGTACATTCAACTCTTTAGAATCAAACATATTTGCTTTCGCAAAGGCGCCCCCCCCCCCCCCCCCAAGAAACTTTTTGATTAGCAAGACCTGTCACAAGAGATTCAATATTGTTAAACGCTGGAAATATGACCCCCGCAGTCGCCGGACACAGCGGAGAACTCACCTCTGATGGGTCTCTGAATATAGCAGCTACGCATCCGTTTACTTGCAATACATGCCAGGTTGCTTTCAGAAACAGCGATGCCCAGAGAACCCATATGCGGAGTGATTGGCAGTACGTATATATTCTGTCCCTGTTCCCTATCGTAAATCCGATATATGTTAATACCTCTTGTGTAGTCGATATAATTTAAAGCGTCGAGTCGCATCTCTTCCCCCACTGTCTTCTGAGATATTTGCTGAGAAAGTCCTTACGGCTCAGGCAGCGAATTCTGCCGCTGCAGCCAAAGCCTCCTTCGAAAAAACATGTGCAGCCTGCCAGAAAACATTCTTCAGTGAAAATGCCTTCTTGAATCATATGGCCAGCCAGAAACATAGGTCGAGGGAAGCGCAACTGCGGAAAAGCGGAGCCCTTCAGGATGAAACTGCTTCCGTGATGAGTGGCACATTTTCTCTGGGAGAACCGATCAATACAGGGGAGCCCGCCGCTGCTCCCCCTGCCACTTCCATCCAGGAATCCGCCGCAGAGGCTGAATTCTCCAAGATCGTGGACGCAATGAAAGATACCACCATCGATAGCGAGGATCCATTATCGAAGCGTCCATCCAGGCCAACTCATTCTTCAGTTGCTGGAGCTCGTCAGGCGTCACCAAGTGGCACTGAACCCGAGTATGATGAGGACTATGCGTTAACCCACTGCATGTTTTGCAACCACAATTCAGCAAGTGTGAAACAAAATGTCCTCCACATGAGGAAGTTCCACGGGATGTTTGTGCCTGAGCAAGGATACCTGATGGATGGCGAGGGGCTGTTGAAATATCTCTTCGACAAAATCACAAAGAACAACGAGTGTCTATACTGCCATAAGATCAAGTCAAGCGCCGCAGCGATTCAGACACACATGCGGGATAAGGGGCATTGCATGATTGCGTTCAGTACGGAGGACGAGATGCTCGAAGTGGGGCAATTTTACGACTTTTCCAGCACCTATTCTGACGACGAGGATGGATCAACGTCCGCAACGGGATCTCCCACTAGTGATGCCAAGGATATCAACGATGAGGAGGGGTGGGAAACGGAGAGCTCAGTATCATCATTTGACGACAGGGATGCGCTGTATACTGATTACGAGCTACATCTTCCATCTGGACGGACGGCAGGACATCGCTCTCTGTTCAAATACTTCCGACAGAATCTACGGAACTATCCAACTCCGGAGGAACGTCTTTTACGCCAGCGGACAATTACGGACGCTGCACAGAATCCGGACGTACACGACAATGACGCTAGCGTCAGGAGAAACCAGTCACTTGTTACGAGAGCGGAGGGCGGTCTTGGTATGATTGGTGCGAGCGATAGCCAGAAGCGGTGGGTCAAGGCAGCGGAGGTTAGAGAGACACGGAGTGAACAGAAAGCGAAGAAGCAATATGAATGGGGCCTTCATAAGAGGGGTAATTTCCAGAAGCACTTCAGGGTAAGTCATCCCAGCTCATGTTTCAGATTTCACACCATGTTCGTTCATTTACTAACTCTTAACTCTCAATTGCAGGATCATCTCCTCCAGTAATCGGTCTGAATGGATTGCGTGCGGTTGATATTCCTGATCTTCTCACGTCACATACTCCTCTTTTTTTTTTTTTTTCTTTTTTCGCGCTGTAGTTGGACACTTTGGCAGCTCGATGTAATGTACAGTACATACTCTGTTAATCAGGTCCACGAACGATAGATAACTGTAACTAATGAATTTCGAATTGAGGCGAGCTGATCGTTGCTTCATCTCAAGCCTATGATACAGGTAGCAGCTTACAATTTAAAAACTTTTCATATCAGATACCACAAGTGGGAATAATTCTACATTTCCATCCTCACATAACAGTAGTATATAATTAACGTCCATTCGCAAATGCCACAACAGCACTAGGGAAAATGAAATGTAAATAGAGGCAAGTTCCCTACAAAAGGACGCGGTCATATTACCCATAAAATAGTCAACGAAGACCTCGTTATTATTTATGTAGCCGGGGTTAAAAAACAAAGGTGAAGAAAAACAGAGATAAGAAGAAGAAAAAGGACATACGGTACAAGATCCTCATCGAGATGTAATCAATCTTCATACATGAAGGAGGAAATTCACTTCAAAGTGACAGGCGATCCAGTGGTCCTGCTAAAAGCTCCAAAATCGAAAGAAAATAGTACGCCAACGTAAGATACATTAATCAGAGAAGCAGACGTTGCGTTTCATCATCATCGCCCTGATCCGTAGATTTGGAACCACCTCCGCCCTTCCGCTTTCTACGACGTTTCTTCTTCACAACATGACCGCCATCATCATCATAATCGCCACCATTATCGGCCGGCAAGGCTTCATTACCACTTGCGGAAGTAAGAGCTTGTGTTGTATGCGCTCGATCGGGGCCAGGGGAGACAACAGGCACCCCGTCTTCATCAGTTGTGCCATCACTACTCGTATGCAGAATCACCTTGCGGATTCCGTTGCTATCGACGACCTGCTCTGTGATGCTGCCGCTGCGAGCCGGGCCATGTTGGCGACGATGGTCGCGGGCCTTTTGCGCTTCCAACGAACCGGCGCTGTTTGGCCCGCTGCGGTGTGAGTGGGTGCTGGGGGTTCGAGATGCGATTACGTTCTCAGATTTAGGAGTAGTCAGGTTCAGGGTGCTACGGTCATGTCGCGGGCTCGAACTGTGGGTACTGACTTCGTCTATCGTCTCTGTGGGTTGGGTGGAATCGGTTGCTTTCCCCATTGTGCCATAGGAGGCTTGCACGGCCAGGACGGCATCGCTTGCAGTCTTCCCTGCCGAACGGATCTGAGATGGGGGTCGTGTTGTTAGAGCACTACTAGTTTCCGATGGTCGGGGTTGGGAGATTGTAGATTGGCGATCCGAGCTGGTCGCTTCGCCCGGCTTAATTTTAACTGCCTGGTATCTTGTTTGCCGTGGGCGACTGGCGAGATTCGAAGGGCCTAGGTGCTTCAAATGTTCACGGATTTCCGGAGTTGGACCCCGTTTGATAATCGGAGCCTCTACTGAGTCGGCGTTGTCAAAGGTACCTGACTTTCGGAAATAGAATGAGGTCTGTGGTGGTGAGCTATAATCCGCTGCAGAATGTCTGCGGGGAAGTGTGTCGCTGGTCGTAGGCTCTGCGTGCGCTACATGATTGTCGGACAAGTCTATAAGATTGCCATGCATATGCGGGGGTTCTGCAACAATTTGGCCTTTCGGAACGCGGGACTTGGGTGCGGGGGCCATACGACGTATAGCTTTATGTACATCAATGAAGACATCGGACTCGTCGATGATTTCCCTATCGAGTATTAGTTAGACATTCCTCGGCACCAGGGTTATTTACACGTACTCTCCAATCAGCTCCTCGATGACATCCTCGAGGGTAACTACTCCCAGTGCTCCGTGATCTTCACCGGGATATTCTGAAACTAGAACCATATGAGACTTTCCTTCTTGGAAAAAGTTGACAATATCCAGACAGCTAGTTTCAGCACGAGTTTCTGGCAGCGTTGCAAGCGCAAAATCTCTCACTAGCTTGCAGTCTTCTGGATCATAGGTAATGAGCATCTTCACCAGCAACATGCCAACAAAATTATGTGGCTCATCCGGCGCATGTATCGGAATTCGGGAGTATCCCTGGGACAAGATTAAATCCATCATCTTTTCATCCAACACTGTGTCGGCGGGAATAGTGAAAACGTCTTCCATTGGAATCATAATGCTGCCCACAGACTTCTCTTTGAGGTCAAGGACAGCAGTAATAATGGTAACCTCATCAGAGTTGAGCTGTTCTCCAGCCTGTCCCAGATTTTTATGCAACGTAACCAGAGTCTTCAACCCAGCTTTTTTATATACAGTTCCGTGATCTTCGCCCAAAATTCTATCAAGCAACTTGGCGATGGGCCATGAAATCGGTGACGTGATATACATCAGAAATAGAACGCAAGGCGCCATCCATGCTCCGATGGGTAAACCATAACGGACACAGATCGACTGGGGAACGACCTCGCCAAAAACGACTACACCAGCGTCAGGACCAAGCAATAGAAGTATATGGGGAAAGCAGGGCACATACCGATGAGTGCTGTACTGCCCAATACAGCTGGCCAGCCGCCTCCCAATGACCGATCAAGGATAATAGGGAGCGTTTCATTGGTGATGACGTTGCTAAGCAATAACGTAACCAAAACCCAGTGTTTACCCCGCTTCAAGAGCTTCAATACCTTCTCGGCATGTTTCTTTTCAGCGCCTTCGCCTGAAGTTTTTATGACCTGGAGGTAGACTTCATCCTGGTGTATGGAAGAAAAATTAGCATGAGTATTTTACGGTGGCGCAAAAGGAGTAAAAGAGGGAAACCAGCGGGCGCAATACCTGACCCATAAGGGCAATTGTTAACCCAGCGAAAGCACCACCACTAATCACCAGGGCCGCAGCTATCGAGAGATATAGCCACAGGCTGGGATCATCGGGAGCTTTGCCATCATCCTGGGTATGGAGTTGGAGGGAGCTCAGGATGGGAAAGGCAGAGATGGTAGGAAGCTGTGCCGCTGCGAGAAGCAGTTTGGCAACCACCAGCGCTACAGATCGTCCGGCCACATGCTGGTTCGGATACATAGGAGAACCCTTTGAGACAAGTGGTTAATACGCATGGAAGAAGGTATGTACAGATCTGTACGTAGTTTAGTACCTATGAACTGCGGCTGGCTGGACGTACCTCGATGAAACAAGTTATATCAGGTCACGCAACAGTGCGTATCGAATTCCTTAAAGAAAGAGAGTATAAGGAAATGTGTCTGAAAACAGCCGGATATCCAAATCCACGAGAATAGGTCGACGTCGACAGGGGTTGGAGCGGGAGGTTTGGAACAAGGGAAAAAAGGAACCCCAGGCGCCGATCTCGGTCGCGATGTGATCATAGGAGTCTTGGCATGCAGCAAAGGTTCTGTCAGCTTATGTCAGCAAGGACCGCGCTGGCCTTCTCCGGACTATAAATTATCCGGCGCATCCAGACTTTGATGCAATCTATATAAAAGTGCTTACCACTGAACACTACTACATGCATGATGACGGTGAAGTCTCTTGAAACATTAGCTTACTATTTGATGGACTTTGTATAGGTGCAGTGAGCTGGAAAGCACCACTGCAATGAATAAATCCATACAAAGCTAATTAACAGGTGAAATGCAGACTTCTTTCTCAATGACTGCTCTACTACAATGGCCCCTCGCAACACTTCTGAAAGAAATCAGCTATACAATAGTTTTAGTATTTCCACTCATTAAACTGATCTTTGAAAAGGAGGCCTGACACACTGACACCATTTAATGGCCCATTTTTGGGTTTCATGATTTTTAAGATTTCTATTGTTTAACAACAAGAAGAACATTTCAAGGAAAAGCCCGTCTAGTTCAACTAACAAATAAGAAAATATATGAAATAGGGAGTTTCCAGAATACAAACAAAACAACTAACTATAAGAAGAGATTTCTCATTTCACTCCTCTTTAAAATACTTTCTGCTTGCTTGTGAACAACAAACAAGCAAGAAACATATGTTGTCTACCATCTTTCTCCCACTTCTATCTTGACCAACAGACTCTTGGTTTGTCCCACATACTTAGATAGAACCGCCTAGAGAAGATTCGTTGAATATCCTACCCAACTGCCTTCTTGTTAGAATATACATATGTGAAGCAACAAGAACCCCTTCATCAAGTACAGGAAAGATGAGATGTATGAAATACAGGGGCTGACCAACCTCTACCCTTCTAGGAATCTCCTCTCCCAGTCTATATGAAATATCAACTTCCTTCACTTCTTCCTCAACCGTCCTGCTATAACTTCATTAAAATTTGTCCCACAAGCAGAGCAAAGAAACATCGCATTCACTACAGCAACAACACTTCATAGCAGACAGTTGTGGAATTCACGCGGCCAGGCAAAACTTTGCTAAAAGAAGAGGGGGTAAGGTTGAATAACACAACACTACAACACACAACACACAACATAAAAACACCCCTCTACTCAGAGCTCCCCTTCTTCCTCTTCTCTTTCTCATTTTTTTCCTCTCGTAAAAAAAGCACTCATCATCAAACCCATAAGAATTCTTTCTCTCATTCTTCACAGCCTAACGGTGATAACTTTTTCTACCTATCTGTCCCCATCTCGACACCTCTCCTCTATCTCTCGCCTGACAAGCGCTCTTGAGCCACCAGACGGCTTCGTGATACCGTACCGCCATCAGTCTCCACTTCCATCTTCGTGACCTCCAAGCAGTCAAGTGCTAATCAGCTGTGCTCCTCTGTTAACAAAACCACGAGAAGTGATAGGAGAAGAAAAAAGGAGAAAAAAAAGTTGGTCTATGTGACAGGTCTTTTGCCCCCTTTCCCCCTTTCCCCACCTCGAAAGATCGAATCCTCGACCCAGGGGGATCAACCTTCCGGTAGTTCTCGAGACGCCAAGGGAAAGCTTGACAATGTTTCCCCTGACGGTGCTGTGCCTGGTGTTGCTTGTGGGTAACCTTTCTGGTGGCCCAAGCACCTCTACGGCAGCCGCCGCGGTCATCACAACTACCTCGGAGAGCCCGTTGCTGGCCGCGGAGTCGATTCTCGATTCCACCATGATGTGCCCTCTGGTCTTTAGTGCGGTCCTTTTCGTCGCGTTGGCCTTGCTCAGTTTCATCCCGGTATGTGTCAGCGTGAATAAGATGCTGAGCACTGGCAAGGGCCCCATCACCGTCGCTAAGGTGATAAGGATCGTCTTCGCCAGCCTAGTTGGCAAGCACATGGTGACTGCGTGGTCATCTCTGCATACGACTCTCTCGCGTATTTACTCGCAAGACGGTGCTCTGGGTGCCGCGCGCTTCGCGGTGGATCGGGCAGTATCTGCGTTCCGTCAGACCTGGGCATACCGCCTCTACCGCTGGATTTCGCCCAGCGGACAGGTAATATCTTTCAGAACGCTATTTGTGGGTGTTATTCATTCTTTCCCCTCCTTTGTAGCTGGGTACTATGGCCTGCTAACCGTAAGGCTAGCCGCCCTTCATGCTATATTGCGGGTACATCAAATTCGGTGCACCAGCCTGCGCCTATCTTTCAGGCCTTCTTGCCGGGATCGCCAACGATTCCGAGTTGCGTATTTCTAGTTGTGACTATGTCATAACTGGCATTTACGCTCCCGTGGAGAAACATAGGTGGCATGATGACCGACTGCAGAACCTTTACTGTTCTGGAGCGCTGTCCGGATTCGTCACGCGGACTGAATGGAAAGAATGGATAGAGCAAAAGCTCTATGTAAGTTACCTTGATTTTCACATGTTAGATTTTGTTAGATTTTTTCTTTTTTCTCTTTCGTTCTTTCTTTCTTTCTTTTTTAGAAAAAAGGCGCACGAAACTAATGAGACGGCGCGAAAACATAGTCATTGGAAATGTTCCACCTTGCCCTCTTCGTGTCCTTGGTGGCGCTGGCGTTCCTGCCTACCTTCATCCTCTACACTGTCATTAGCCTGAAGGACTTTGACTATGTCATTGTCCGGAAAGCCGACCTGGCAGCAATGAAGGTTGCAGAGAACCCAACCCCGAAGAAGGCCGGGAGGGCAAGTGGTGTGATCCCCGCCAGAAACGGGACAATTGGGAATCGAACGAGCGCCAGTCAGCGCACTTTGATGATTGACCAGTTAAAGAGCCGAATTAGGGAACTTGAAGTTTGCAACCTCGACTCTACGTCCATGATTAGGGCTCTTGAGGGAAAAAGCTGGAATAAGGACAGAGTACTCGCCAGACTCATGAAGGACCGCGCGGATCTGCAGCTGGAGAACTCAAGAGAGCGGTCGCGACGAGAATATCTTACCGAGAAGCTGGCAAAGTCAATCAAGCAGCAAGACACGCTCAATTTAACTTCCTCCCTCAAGTTGGCGCGAGAGCAGCTGGGACAGGAACAGATGAAAGTGAAGATTGCAGAAGACATGTACAGCGCTCTCAGGACCCTTGCGGGGAACATAAATTTAGAACCGAGCCTGCACAAGTACATCCACGATTTCGACAAGATCGCTGAGAAGTGCAATGTGGACAATTTGAGTTCGTCGGCCCGCAAGGCAAGGCTAGAAGTCATGCAGCAAACCCTCAAGAACAAATTACCCTACCTGCTTAGGGAGGCAACGATCAAGGCTTACGCGGTTCGGAACACCAGATGTGACGAGCAAATTGCCGCTATCAAGAAAAACGGCCGCCCTCAAGAGAGATCTCGAGAGTGCGCGCCGCCATATCAATTCACTCGTAACCGAACCAGCCCAGCGTACATGCATTGCCACCCGAACGACAACCTGGCGACGAACACTGAGCTTGATGCGGTGAGACAACAACTTGCCACAGTTGTTGCTGATCTTGAAGCGCAACGTGTTGAGACTGCCGCTATGATTGGCCTCCTGGAAGGTGAACGTAGCGCGCACGCTCTTTCCGTGGCGTCACTCAATGAGACGCACAACATGGTCGTCACCACACACTCGAGCCAAACTCAAGAGCTCAAGGTGGAGATCCGAGCAGCGAGACGGCACGGTGAAGAAGTCAGAGCAGGGAAGGACAAGGAAATCGCGGACCTTCGCCAAGAACTCGAGGCCAAGAACCAGGAAATCATAACTCATACATATGAGGTCCAGGAAAAGGGCCGGGCACTCCTCAGGATGGAGGGCGAACTTCACGAAGCCCGGGCGTTCTTTGGAACCCTTCATGTCGCCGCCAACGCCCAGACTCAAACACGAGTTACTGGAGCCGAGCTCGCTCAACTTCAACAACAGCTGGTCACCTCCGCTACTCGAGAGGAAGCCCTCAGTGCCGAGCTTGCCCATGTTCATGGACTGCTGCGGAACATGGAGCTCGAGAACGCCCAGTCTCTAGAGCAGCAACGGCAAGCGAAAGACAATCTGATTGCACAGTATCAGACAGCCTTGTTCAGCAAGGATTTCGAGTACAAGCAGCAGATTGACCAACTCCAGTCCGCTGGCCGAGCCCTCGATGCGGAGTGTCAGAAACTGCGCGCAAGGGTCCAAGGGCACCAGGCAACCTCATCTGTGCTCGCGGACGCTAACGCAAAAGTGGTTGAATGTCGAGCACAAATCAATCATCTGATGCAGAAACTGAGCCAGCTCACCCAGGCTCCGACAGACGATTTGACCAGACAGCATATCGAGAAACTTCGCGCGCGGGTGCAAGTTCTCGAGAAAGGGGACCGTGACAATGTCACGGACAAAATCCGGTCCACCCAACGGATCAAGAGTCTGGAAGAGGACCTACAGAAGACCAGGGTTGCTCTCAGCAACGCCAAAGCGGAGGCGGCAAGCCCTCGCAGAGCGCTAGGGCCGAATCCGTTGAGAGCAAAAGTCGATGACTTGAACAAGGCTCTAGAGGCAAAGAATGCTGAAATAAGCGCGCTGCAGGTCCAAATTGAAACTCAGCGGGACAAGATCAAGTCTACAGAGGATCAGCTTAGCTACCTTGTTTCCCTGGGCTGGATCCCAGCGGATAGCTCCAAGTGGCTGCAGGAAACTCCCATTCTGGAGGCAGATGACTTGATCAAATCCGAAGTTGAGGCCACGAAAAGGGCCGGTGAGCCGCTCTACGTGCCACCAAAGAGGCAAAGGACGGAGGAGTATGAGTCCTCAGCAATCCTGCCTGTGCCAGCCACCTGGGTGCAAATGACGGATGCGTGAACGTGCGATTAAGCACAATTATTTAGTAGGTGGTGTTTGAAGCAGACTCGACGAACAATGACTAATTTCTGAGTCAGATCTCAGCATCCATCCAGCTAACGACAGGGATGGATAGCTTATAAATTGAAAACACCATGTCGATACTGCACTCTGTACTTCTTGCTAAGGTAGAAGGGTAGGTGGCCCTTGGGCTGCCTGTGAATTTTAAGGCGGCGAGTTTTATATAAAACTTCGACAGAGACGAGCTAATAATTTCCTTTCAACACCATTGTGCAGCGTGCTTGCACCAGATTCAGGGGCTTCTTCGCCTAACTTTGTTATTCCTCTCTTCGTTGGAGTCGGAGTTGGTTGTCCCCGTCTACGCTGTAATATGGGCTCGATGCTGCCAAGATCCCTTCGAGACTGGGCTGGCTCGGACTGAGTGTTGATCATAGCCTCGTATTCGGGACACGATTCTTCTGCCTCTTCATGCATCGTCAATCATATGCGCTGGGCCGCTTTGAATGTTTACTTCTTCTGCAGGAGCGAACCACGGAACTCAGCCCGCCAGAACATCTTCGATAATAAAATAACGAATTCCACATACGAAATCATTGGCTGCTATCGTTGTCTGCCTGCCAATAAAATGGCAGCCCGCTTTTACGTGGGCCACTGCTGTGGCCAACGTTCAGAAAGGGTCGTATGGATCCAATCATTATTGACAGTTCTGGTGCGACAATCCAGGGCTGATCTAGTGATTCCTGGCACACGGCAGGCGCTGACGCAGCCACCATCGACGCAGCCCAAACGAGACCTTGCAGATCCGTCTCAAAACTCCGCATAAAAAGGAACACGCCTGGTGCGGATCTGGTAGACCATTCCCAGCCTCAAATACCCGTGAAAGCGAAATAAATACCTTGATCGATTGTTCAGTCTCTAATCCTCGACGGAGTGATGTCTCCCAGACTGCTTGTATCGCTTCACACGTAGTTCTATATCGGACGGCTACAGGCTCCGAAGTTTCTGATCATTTGCCAACTCGATATGCTACTCCAACAAGACAGCCTTGAAAACGATGTTGAAGATGTCCCGTTCCTGCCAAAGTCGCCTTCTTTCGATCAGTCATCGGTTACTTCAAGCCAAAACCCAGATGGCATCAATAGCGCCCGGCGGAAAATTCGCATGCGGCTCACTATCGCTCTTTTTGCTATTGTGCTTGCCTTCGAGACTGGCGGATCCATGCTCGCTGCCCCCATGACACGCATGTTCGAATCGATAACTTGCCTACAGTACTATAAGGAGCACGACCCTGCAATAATAGGGAAGAATGGAAACATTCCTGAGGAATTATGCAAGAATAAGGAGATTCAGGGTGAAGTCGCAATTGTGAAGGGTTATGGAGAGCTTTTTGACGCGATGGCTGGTACGGTCATTGGTTTCCGGACCTAAAAATGTTCCATATAATAACTGGGTAATAGGTGTGCTTCTTTCGGTACCGTATGGCCTATTGGCAGACAAATACGGCCGGAAACCAATATTTTGCATTTGCATTCCTGGGTTTGTCCTGAACATGATGGTTACAGGCGTAATATTATACGCGTCGGATACGTTTCCGTTACGTATGGTTTGGCTATCTACCTTAGCCTGGATGTTTGGAGGTGGTTTTGCTGTTGCTAGCACAATGGTATGGACGATGATGGCGGATGTTACTGCTGAATCCCAAAGGTTTGTCCCTGCCAGTCATAGCACAAACGGCGGAAATTATACTTCTAACTTATTGATATAAAAAGGGCTGCTCTTTTCTTCAAATTCGGCGTCTCAATAATGCTGGCCGACTTCATCTCTTCACTCTTTACCTCGTGGCTCATGAAGTACAGTCCCTGGATTCCGATGGTCATAGGATGGAGCTTTACCATGATTGGAATCCTTCCAGCCGTACTACTACCAGAAACGAAAGGGACATTCACATCGGAGAAGGAACTCGCTCATGAGCTTTCTGAACCATCATCACCTATCAACGATGGGCCTATCTATTTTTCGCCTGAGCAGCGCAATGCCGGTATGCTATCATTCGCTAAAAAGCCACGTCCGGCCTCACAACTCAGGCGGATGGGATCTCAGTTCAGCTTCATTATCCAGGATAAACACCTCATATTTCTCCTTTCCACATTCCTCGTCTACAGATTGAGCCGCGGCACATCATGGCTCCTCATACAATACATATCCAAACGCTACCACTGGACCCTTGCGAATGCGAATTTCTTAAACTCCTTCAAATCAATCCTAACCGTATTTCTCTTCCTCGCCCTACTCCCGCTCGCATCATGGTACCTAACATCTCGACGAGGCACACACTACCGGCAGAAGGACTTGACCCTCGCCAAAGGCAGCGTCATCCTCCTCCTCGTCGGCACGTTTATCATGGGCATCTCACCCTCAATATCCCTCTTTATCGTCGGTCTCATCGTGCAGACGTTGGGTATCGGGTTTGTGTTTATTGTTCGGTCCCTGGCCACCACCATGGTGCATAGAGATCAGACTGCACGGCTGTATACGGCGATAGAGATCCTGCAGAGCATCGGAGTGACGATTGCCAGTCCGACAGTGACTTTCTTTTTCAACAGGGGTTTAGATATGGGAGAGGGCTGGATTGGGTTACCTTGGGTGGTGGCGTCTGGTCTTTTTGGCGCGACGGCGGTGTTGCTATGGATGTATAGACTACCCTCTCTTCCAAAGCAATCTGTGTCTGAAGCTTCGATTGCACTTTGAGTTTGATATCTGTTAACTTTTTCTCGTTGCCAGTTTTTCCCTGTTTTCTCTTCCTTTCGAGTATTTTTTATTTTTTATTTGCATTTTTATTTTTTTTAAACATGTACAGTGCATGCGATTTATATCCTCTCGGCCTTGAAGCGATTTGTTTTCTTTTCATACTTTGTGTGTTTTTGTAGATATTTTATTCGGGATGAAGAGAACCTCGCAACATAGACATGAAATACATACAGACAGACAGACAGACAGACATCCTTTTTATATTCCAATTACCATCCGGCCGCACATTATGTTTCCAACCACTCCTCAATGCACCGAGTACTAGCGAGGTTTTGCGTTAAAACCCCATCCACGAAAATACCTGTACCTCAAGCCTGCGGAGAAAAAATAAAATAAACAGTTATAGGCCGGAGAAGAATCGGAGGTGAATTAATTGGCCGGGGATCGGATTGTGAAGAATCAAAAGTAGGTAGGTACAGTAACAGTACGGAGTATATGTGGCCGTGATCATTTGTTGTTCTGCAAAATAGCAGTAGTCGGTTTGTCTATAATAATAGCTATTTATATGAACTAAGACACATCGATCTGAATATGGTAAATTTCTTATTGTATACAGAGTCTTCATTTTTAACCTGCTTCATTCATTTTTTTTTTTTTTTTTTTTTTATCTTGACAGTTCTGGAGAGAATAATGGGTAAAGCTGTGCGCTTCAGGCGTACATATTATCAGATTCGTCAGATCTCTCAGGCGGATGAAGGAGAAGCACTTCAGAGTGATTGTTTTCTTCTGCTTCAATTCTGCTTTTATATATTTTTTGTTTATTATAGTCCACACTCAGGTTACTATTATATGTACTGTTAACTTATTTCACCAATTCCTTAACTCATTATGGACTCTGGCGCAACAGACCTCGGCGACTAGAGGTTAGCGGCAGGTAACCAACACTAACCGGATAACGGCGGGTGTACCTGAGCCCAGACCATCCATCCATATCAGAACCTTCCTTCTAGCTTTGATCACGGGGTTTACCAGCCGGAGATCGATCAGATCCAGGGCACTGTTTCAGAAGCAGTTAGCGCCGTGGAAATGTTCGCCGCTGGTTGGGTTGGAACCGTTTCATATTATTATTATATTATTTCATACCCTAACCCATGGAAGTCCAAATTAATACGGGAGTGAGTGATCATAGGTACGGTACTGCACATTCACCTGCAGATTTAATATTACAGACTGCAGAGGAAGGAGGAGGGGAATCCGGGTGCAGCTTTTTCATTGTTAGGCATTTCATTCATTCAGCGCTAGCATTCACTTAATTATTTATTCATCATTTTAACTACGCTGTATAACTATGAATTCATTATTTAATACGGAGTAATTAATTCCCCAATTCCCCAAGGCTGCTGGCATTTGCAAGCCCAACAACCCACTTTCCCCTGGTCTTGGCGCCCAGGCCCGCTAGTCCCGTTTAGCCACCCAGTGACCACCACACTCCCCCAACCAACCACAATCGTCAATCGTTCAATTGTCAATCATCAATCATCAATCATTCATCCATCCATTCTTTTATCCTGACCATTCTCCTTCTTTCTATCTCTCTCTTTCTAATCTCTCTCTTTCTAACCCATGTTACGGAGTAGTTGTTTCTACCGTGGTCGTTCGATCCAGTGCCCCCCCCCGCGCTGCTGCTGCTGCTGCTGCTGCTGCAATCTTTCGTGTTGAATCGCCGTTAGATTGACGCCAACCATTCATTTCCCCACAAGTGCGATCGATGTAACGCACCGCACAACTACTACTTCAAACCACTCTCCCTCTCTCTCTTCAGCGCCTATCGTAGAGATAGATGTCCAATTATACACGCATTTTACATTTTGTATACTGCTTCACAGTCATTTAAAACATTTACCACGCCTCTCACACCACGATAAACCACTTTGTTGTCCTCTTCCTCTTCCTCTTCCTTCCTTCTTTTTTCCCCCTTCCCTCTGCGACCGGCTGGACCGAGAATTGCGATCACACTCTCTCTCAAAATAACTCACCGTGTACTCTTTGTACATCACATTTACATTTCTCCTTACCCAGAAACTTGGTTGAACCAGGTCACTCTTGACTTTTTTAATCGCATGAAAAACAACTCTCAGAGAGATCGCGGATTCGTCTTAGACAATGGGTTGTTGTACATCTAACAGGAAGGAAGAATACTGGGGACATATGCGACAAGAACAAAAATGGGATTACATTGTAAGGACCTCCTCAATCTACTTGTTGTTTGGAGAAGGGCTACTTTTGGAAATTGTCTTTCCACTAACTGCCTATTTTACTTGATAGAATCTCCAAGACTTCAAGTCGACTACATGTTTTACCCAACTCTCTTATTTCATTCTTTGGATTTCAGTTTTTATATCGATCGCTGTATATGGCGTCGACACCTTCACCGCTGTCAATTTGATTGCTTTCAATCGATGGTCCACTGAGGCAGAACAATTAATCCCCCGTTACATCTCAAAATGGATCTTCGCAGGATGCATCATGCTTTCCTTCGTTTTCCTCATATACCGATGGATTCGTGCGATCCGTGTTATGAAACAAGGAGGAGTCGCACAGAGTTATCTTGACCCCCTAGCCGTTAGAATTCAAAGTATCCGCGTTGGGGAGAAAGGTCAAGGCTGGCGTCGTTTCCTGGTGTTTTACGAACTTACCAAGAGCAAAAAGGGCGCTGATTACGTTGCCCTCTTCACGTACTTCAACTTTGAGGCATGGATGCGAACGGTCTTCGCCGAGGGCCCTCGACAGTTCATTAATGGGTCGATTCTATATTCCGTAATGGAGTCGGATCTGATTCTCCAAGGAGAACACGCACCCCCGGAAGGTACCTCTTCTGTCTCTCAGTTTTTTAGCAATGTTGGAGCATTGGCCGATAAGGACAGGCGACAAGCTGTGATTCTGTCAGCGATGTTATTTACCCTTGTGATTTGGGTGTTCTCTGTCCTCAGCCTCATGCTGTCGTGCGTCCTATATCTACTTTTTCTGTGGCATCATATCCCTAGCGAAGACGGTTCCCTCACTGCCTATTGTCGCCGCAAGATTAATAGGCGATTTGAGAGAATTGTTAAGGAGAAGGTCGACAAGGTATTGGCCAAGGACGTCGTGCTGCAGGATCGCGGTCCTTCTGACCCTGAACTTGCGACTGGTATTGTCAAACGGCAGCCCACCCTGCCCACTTTCCATCAGCCAAGCACGGACAAACTGCCAGAGATGCCAGCTCTTTCCCGCCAGACAACTGTGTCGACGCTTCCGCTATATTCCAACGCCCCATCTAGAGGCCCCACCCCTCAGCGTCAACCAACGTTGCCTAATTTGCGCCAGCACAGTTCAGATGAACTTCCAGAAATGCCGGGACTATCACGTCAGACCACAGTCTCGACTCTGCCGCCATATGCCAACTCTACAACACCAGGTGCCAATTCTCACCGGCAACCAAGCCTGCCAGATACCAACTGGTCCAACTATGATGATATGTCTATGGGCAATGGCAACCACAGCTCTCGCGTTTCCGATGACAACCTACCCTTGGTGAACAATGCCGCAGGGTTTAGCTACAGCAATGAACGAGATTATAATCAAGGCCCTCCGGTCCTACCACCAATCGATAGGCAAGGAACACCACTGTCACTCATGGCAGGTCCAAGGCCCCGCGACCACATACCGCCAGGGCCGGACCCGTCAGCGGATAACCAACAATTCCCCTTCTCACCACCAATGCCGGCGCTCAGCGACAGCGCTTCCCCCGTTAGCCGTTCGCAAACGTCACCCCCTGCGCGGCCATACTCGCCACACCTTACTCCCAGCGGTGGTAGCGGCTACCCGGCCTTCCCAGCAAGCCCGGCGCCCCGGAATCCTCTCCCACGTCTCCCGGGCGGTGGAATGACCGCAGGCCCGCCTCCTATCCGCAACTTTACTCGTCCATCCACGACTTCTCCTTCCAATGAGCATGCCAACCGATCCGCTGCCTCCAACAGACCCTGGCCGCAGCGATCAGGCACCGCACCCCCTCAAAATCCATCGCCATATGGTGGATTTTGAGGCGTAAATAAGAATATGCAAAATTATTTATGTGTTATATTACAATAAAATATTCACATCATTTTGTGCTCGATATATTGCGGGAGCATTAGATTTGTTTAGCCTAAAGGATTGAACCCTCACGAGCCAGGATTTTCGTAAAGTCTACCGGCGTTTTAAGGCTTCTGTGCTTTTAGTTTCTGCCGGACGTTGCTGGCGCAAAAGGCGAAAAGGGTAAATTCGATCCCAGTGGAATATGGAGACGTTTTTTTTAGTTCTATTCTTTTATTATGGCTTTGGGCTCTGTGAAACTAGTTACCTACGTAGCTCTCACTTAGCCCGTATGTTTTCAACACCTACCTACACACATTGAGCTATGGTCCACAATGCCGCTCGAGTCACATCTCACACACGACCGTCTACCCCTCACATCGTTTCTCTTCGATCTCAATAGCTATCCAAACATTTCTCACATTTCCTCACCATTTCATGTTATCCAAAAGGGACATTGTCATGCTCGATCCCATTCTCCATTTCAATATTCTTTTTTGCCATGTTCCTTTTCTCGTCTTTTCTCATCATTCCTTGCCACGACCTTTCCAAAAATAGCAGAAACCAAGCAAAACTGGATTTTGTTAAAGCCATGCTTTTTATATCTACCCCTTTTTTCATGAACGAGCACAAATGATCAAACAGATACACACAATACAACCACGCCCCAAATACCCGAATTTATTTTTATTTTTTATTTTTATTTTTTGTAGTGGTTTTTAATTCCATTCACTTCTTGTTCTTTCTTCCCCACTTCTACTCGTTACGTTCGGTTACACTTATGTCCATGTTACTTACACTTCACAATACCTATCTATACTTTGATACCGGATTCGCCCTTCTTCTTCTTCTCTTGCGCAAAACTCTCTTTAATCACTCTTGTTTAAATTACCTCTTTCCCCCCCTTTTTTCCATTCCCCTTCTTCGCATGAATGTAACATGAACATATAAATTCTCATCAACCAATTGAATAGGCCGAGCTTGGAAAAATCTACCAGTGAAAGAAAGCATTTACTGCTCCCCCCCCGCCCAACTCCTTTCTTTTTATTTCACATCTATGTAGCTAGCCAAGTAGCTCGGTACAACCCCTTTTTTGAAATAACTACATGTATCCTGTGCAAGCTCTTGGAAAAGTTAATCTTGTACATGTACAGTACGTTTTAAGTAATTCCTTTTTTTTTTAATTTTCCCACTTGTGGGTTCCCTCAACTCCGGGGGCGCCGATCTACATCGAAATAAATCGTCGCCAAGAGATATAAGGCGCGCAGTCCGCTCCACTGAGTCCACCCCACAGGTTTTTCGTGGGTTCAACGGTATCATTACATAGTAGGGGAGTAGTTAAGGTTCTGAAGACCCACTTCCCGCGATTTGATGAGAAGCGCTTTTACTTTAGATTACATAGTAGATGAGGAGAGAAGTATCTGATTAGAGCTGGTTGGCTAGCTGTGGATATCTATATCTATATCTATATCTATCATGGTTGGGTTGGGTAGGAAGGAGGTGTGGTGTTGGTGTGGAGAGAGAATCTGGCAGGTCTGGGTTTTTTTGTTTCCTTTTCTTCTTCTTCTTCTTCTTCTTCTTCTTCTTCTGCTTTTCTTTCTTTCTTTCTTTCTCCCTTTTTTATACACATGAAGGACAGTTGCGGGATCATTTACACCGTCCCATCCCACGAGAAGTGCGTGAGTTTGACATAAAATAAGTACAGACATTTTACCCATTCCAGCTCAGGAAGGACCAGGTGCCCTTCTGCTTGTTCGTACATACATACATACATACATACATAAAATATTGAGCTGTAGCTGTCCCAAGTGCGGGAGAGAGCCACCTACCCTAGTATACCTAGTCACCATGGTGGTGGTTTGTGGAGTTTCTATGATGTACTATACATGTACATACCTATACGTTACAGCAGCGCTCATAGTCTTTATATGCATGCTGTTTTAAAAGAAAGGAACAAGTATTGCTTTCTCAGGTGGGGAATGTGTATTCTGGACATTGATGGAACTTGGCGTAAGGAGTAGTTAAGGTAACTAAGTAGTATTTTCATGTTTACATGTTTACAAATGGATGCTTCAAGTGGTTGTTTTCACTAGTTACTGGCGAACTAAGAAGCTGTTTTTTTCTTTTTATTTTATTTTCTTTTTGAAGATATTCTACTCCAACATCAAAGCTACATTCCTAGGTACGTTGTCATTTTCGACAATTGTAGCAGACTGCCACATTAATTAAATCTTGCTCTCAAGATTTTAGGTTTTAAATATCCTTTATTTGTACGCTTAAACTTTTACAAGGTTAACTTTGAGCTTGATATTCGCTTTGACCAAACTATATTATTTATTGGTTTGCATGGCTGACTAAGCTGGCATATCTCCCTCCACCCATCCCCCGGACAAGGACAGCTTTGCGCAAGGAAATCTACGGTAATCCAAGTCCACTGACATCCCTGTCCCTATATGTTGGCGCTTGACTGTCCAGGCTCGATACGCCGCCAGTCCTCGCTTCAGGACACCTTACATTTCGGAGCGCAGCATATTCACCTCGTCGCACACGCGGACCGAGATGCCAATAGCAGCCAACAACCGCAAACCATGAAAATCTTTCTACCCTCTTCAGCTATGAGCCATTGATACCTACAACCGGATCTTGAAAGACTCATTTGTTGGGACAGCCTATGCTACGAAGTAAGAGAGTGAGCCGGAAGAACAATGGGATCCTAGTGATGATGATGATCGCGGTATCTATTTAAAACGAGAGAACTCATGATGGATGATATACTTGGCGGTACTGCTGCTTCTGCTACCGCGGTGTCTGGCGGGAGCAGTGAAATTAGGACAAACGGAAAGATGGGCTCTGGCAGCCTTTCAGAAGATGACAAAAGGTCGTATGTTGCTGGGGCCCGGAAGGGGAGTGACGCTGACATAGGCCTGGGAGTAAAGGGGCCCTTCAAGGGATCAAATTTTGGGGCTATCAATGGACACATCTCTCCGCAGCCGGAAGTGCTGCATAAGGAACATCTGGGTATGCCGAAAAGTCGTAATCCCGAAACAAGCACTCTGTCGAAGCATGACGGTGCAAACGTGGTGCGTTTTCATACACCCGACGAGGCGATGGAAGGCCAGAGGGGACACAAACCACATTTTGCACCGACCTCAACGGAGACTCGATTAGGTTTGGCAAATACTGTTAAGAAGGCGGATGGCGGAACTGCGACGGTGGCATCCCCGGCTTCTGGCGACAGGCCGGTGCATCAGGCCGTACAACCCGCAGATGTAGGAACCCCATCCTCCTCGCAGCGCCCTCTGAAGCCGATTAATACAAACCCGCAATCTCCTTCGAGTCATGATCGTGAAAAGGACAAAGTTCTCAAACTGTCGCCGGCAAAAATTCATGAACTCACTTCTTCGCCAGAATCTTTAACCCTACACTCCATCCCACTGGAGCCCGATAAAAGACAGCCAAATTTACGGGCTCCAATACCCTCAGATTCGCCAAGTAATGGTACGATCCTGGACACGTCGATGGGACCACGGGCTGTGGATGGGTCTTTAAAACGAACAAAATCTCCCCGCCGCAAATTAAGTGCTGGCAAAAATGTACATGTGGAGGATGCACCCGACTTTCTAACGTCCGGACATCAAACGATCCGTCCGTTCTCTTCCCGTCAGAAAAGCCACTCAGCCCGAGCTGTGTCGACCACTGATACGCTCCAGAAACGGCGATCTTCCGCAAGTGGTGATAGGGTCGCTGATTCATGGCCAAGGCCAAACCGTGTTGACACCTCTAGAAGTCGTCCAAATTCATCATCGGCGCCAGATCTACTTCCGTCGCCAGCACCCCAATCTATCCCACTCCCTCCTTTCTCTATCCCGACATATCTCCAGTTAGAACTGGCCTCTGAACGGCCCTCGCCCTTATACATTCACCGTTCCTCCACGAATGATTTTCCTTACGAGTCTTCGCGAGCGAAACTCGAGCGGCTACAAAACTTTTTCCTTCTACCTCCCGCCCTAGAACAGGTACTGTTCTTCGGTGCTCTTGCATGTATCGATGCGTGGCTTTATTACTTCACAATCCTGCCATTGCGATTTCTCAAGTCTATTTTTCTTCTTCTTCGTTCCTGGGCTATCAATGTTGGAGCCGAAGCACAGTTTATTTCACGGTTTATTTTTACCGGACTTGGCAGGGTATGGCGCCGGAGACAACAGGGGTGCCCGGCTGCGCGCAAGAACGGGCATGATCAAAAGCATAATGAGAGCCCTGCTCACTCGCGGCCACGCTTTTCGAGCAATGTTTCTACTGATCAGGAGAGCCCATTCCTTGACCATGATGTCAAGAATCGGCCATCTGAAAAAAATGACCCGCGAAACCGGGTGCCTTCCAGTCGAAGACATCGCAGGACCAGGTCTATTCCCTCCACACTTTTACCGAACGATAAGGCAGATATTTTGAAGGGTTTTCTCATGATCTGTACATGTCTGATTCTGATGTATTTCGATGCCAGTCGGGTTTATCACTGGATTCGCGGGCAGGCTGCCATTAAGCTTTATGTTATTTATAACGTACTTGAGGTATGGCTACCATCTGATCTGCTACCTCATTTGGAGATCGAGAAGCTAATACCTCCCTGGATATTTAGGTTGGGGATAGACTGCTTTCAGCAATCGGCCAGGACGTCCTCGAATGCTTGTTTTCACGCGAAGCTCTGGAGAGGAAACCTGATGGGCGCAGCAAGATTCTGCGTCCATTTTGGCTATTTATCATCGCACTGATATATACCGTTATCCATTCTGTCTCACTTTTCTATCAAGTCATCACACTCAATGTGGCGGTGAATTCATATTCGAATGCCTTGATTACCCTCTTATTATCGAACCAGTTTGTGGAAATTAAATCCACCGTCTTTAAGAAATTTGAAAAAGAAAATCTCTTCCAGCTTACCTGTGCCGACGTTGTCGAGCGATTTCAACTCTGGCTGATGCTTACAATCATCGCGTCTCGGAATATTGTTGAAACGGGTATCTTCAGCTTTGGCAGTGGCTTGAGCTTATTTGCTGGTAGCAAGCCAACCCCGAGCGCGAATGCTACATCATTTGCAACTCCACCCAGAACTGCATCGTCCATTCTTCCACAGGCCTTCACCATCCTCCCGTCATCCCTACTCTCGTCGCTTAGCAAGGTGAACTCATTTCTCCCAACGATCGGCCACCTCCTCGGACCCTTCCTTGTGGTCCTAGGTTCTGAAATGATAGTCGACTGGTTGAAGCACGCATATATCAATAAATTCAACAATATCCGTCCTGCGCTGTACGGCCGGTTCCTCGACATACTCGCCAAGGACTACTATACGAATGCCTTCGCGGACCAGAATCTCAACCGCCGCTTAGGCCTACCCGTCATTCCGCTCGCGTGCCTCTTCTTCCGCGTCTCCATACAAACCTATCAGATGTTCCTGACATCGTGGCTACCACAGACACCATCCCTCGTCACTCAGTCAAACACCACGTCTTTAACCTCAATCCACGACCGTTATTCCCCATCCCCATCGCCCTCCCCTTCATTTATACTACCCCTCCACCCCCTCGATCCCAGCTTCCTCACTAAACTCTCCTCGCTATTCCAAACCATGATAGCCCACGCCACCCCTTCTCCCGCAGCCTTCATACCAATTTTCACCACCATCCTCGTCCTGCTCCTATACCTCACCCTCCTCTTCATAAAACTTATCCTCGGCATCATTCTCCTCAGCTACTCCCGCGCCCGCTATAAGAAAATGAAATCGCTAGAACGGGTCACAATCACGAATGCCTCCTCTTCTAAACCAACTGCTACACCATCCACCATGGCAACAACAACAGCAGAAACAACACCGCCCCCGCCACCTCCACCATCACAATTTCCCAACCCCCAGCCCACGACAGCAACAACAAACCCCGACATCGTCGAGGGTGCGCGTCGCGTTGGTGGCTGGGGTGCTGTGGAGGTGGGCGAGGATCGGAGAAGGTGGATCTATGCTGATGATCCAGAAGGCGCAAGACGATTAAAGGAGAGAGAGGAACGGGATAGAGTGGTGAAGCCCAGTGCTGGAGGCGATGGGATTGAAGGGGTGATGAGGTATGAGATGGCGGCGAAGAGGATTTGGTGAGTCAGAGCGAGCATATTTTGATGTCTGTATTTTTACAAGATGTACAGTGAGGAGTGACGTGGGTCCCCTTTTGGGGTTGGGGGGGGGGGGGGGGTTGTTGGTTTTACTTTGCATTATTTGTATGATTCGCGTGGAGGCGTCTTTGTGATCTTTTCTTTGTGTTTCTTTGCATATATACAGAGTACACGGTGTCGCATGTCGCATTGTAGTTCCATTGTATGCATGTGTATTAGATATGTGATAAGGATAACGATATGTGGTAACGAATATAACCCTTGATTTTCTGATTTGTGTTGTTCCCCACTTTTGTGGTTTTGTTCCCTGCGAATGACATTTTTGAAAGAGGGATGGATAATAATGCAAATAGACCGCAAATGTGAAATGCGAATTAAAGGATATGGTAATGTCAAACGAGGGATGGGGAAAGAATGCAACTCCAAGCGGGAAAAAAAAAGTATTTCTATCAATACATTATAGGGGAGGAAAAGCATTAGAAAGAATAACATAGTATCAGAAAGTAGAGCATCGAGGTCAGGTCCTGTGGTGAAGGTGCTCAATCGAAGAAGGCATCCCGATGCATGATGGTTACCAACTGACTCCATCAACAACTTCAATCATCCTCCATTCCATCCCTCAGTCCATTCCCTGTCTTACTCCTCTGAATCCTCCCCAGCCTCGCTATCATTACTAGCACTGCCGTCCTCGTCTAGAGTACCGTCATTACCAGTCCCAGCTCCATCCTTTCCCAAATCCCTGAACACCCGCGTCATAATCTCTCGACTCTTATACAGATTTTCAACCCTCAGCCGCTCGTTATCCAAGTGCGCATGGTCACTCGCCTGGCCACACGGTAGGTGAGCCGCTGGCGCATTGAATTCTTTCTCTAGATAGCGGATCGTCGGGATCGATCCACCCTCACGGATATAGATGGGTTGGATGAATTGGCAGGGGCGCGCAATAGATACCGGAGAATGAGATGCTGATGTAGAGTTCCGTGTATGAGGTTGCGGTCCGGATGTTTCTGCTGCCGCTACTGGGGTTACTTCGCAAGCGGATGAAGACGCGTTATGTCTGCAAGGTGCACGGGGTCGACTGGGAGGTTTAGTGCCCGCAAGGTCAGAGCCGTGCGCCAGGGTTGAAGAGGTCGGAACGCTAGGTGCAGAGAGCCTGTGTCCTGAGCGAGTTTTGGGCGCTGAGGACGAGGAGGAAATTATTCGGCCGACATTCGAGGCCACACTGTCAGTTGAGTTTGAGCGGAGAATTTCACGACGAGATAGCTGGTTAGATGGATTAACGGGTGGGTAGTTATAGTGACGATCTCCCTTGGCAGAAGACCATGCTGCGGTTACAGCGCGTGAAAGCAATTTGAAGATGTCATTCTCAGGGTCCCCAAGCCATGGTTCCGCTTTTCCTGCTATTTCAACTGTCAATATGTTTTGAGAGTCAAAATTTGCAAACTGAGCATGTGCAAACTCCGTCAGGTCAGCTGCCACTTTATCTGCGTCCTGGTTAGGCACTATTCGGACGGAAAGTGTTGCTCGCGCTCTTCGCGATATAGTTGTCGAGGTATTTTGGCAGCCTGGGACCTCTACCCGATGGATTGTAAGAGATGGTTCCCGCCAACGGTGCATTAGGGAGTCAGTGAAAGCTTCGTAGTCCTCGATTTCAGGGTGATGAGGAAGTAGAGCTTTGGCAATTGCATCGTATCGTCTCTTTTCTGCTTCGGTCAAGGGAAGGACGGGGTCATGGAACCCTGGAATATTAATCTTCCCTCTCGCACCAACGAGAGTAGCAAGAAGCATGGTGAGATCCTTCAATGGTTCATCGAGAAGGGAACTACCATCAATTCCACTGTGTAAATCTGGGTTACTGCTTGTCACGACAAAATTAGCATGAACCACTCCTCTTAGCCCGTATGTCAGGCATGGAATGTGATCATCCAGCCAGTAACTATTTGCCAAGAGGATCCAGTCAACTTCTCCGATCAAATCCTTGTGTTTCTGAGCCGTTTGTGCAAATCCCTGGGAACCAGATTCTTCTTCGCCCTCAATTAAAAAGACGACATTGCAACTTAAATTTTTCGTCTGGGCTAACTCTGCAGCAGCATATAGAGCAGCGAGAACCGGGCCCTTGTTATCCGACACACCTCGACCATACAAAAACCCATTGATCGAAGTGAGCTGGAATGGATCCGTATTCCATTTCAAATGATTCATATCCGCACCGACAACGTCATAGTGTCCATAAAATAGAACAGTCTTGCTGGCTGATGACTTTGATGCTGCATCGAATCTCGCAAAGACGATCGGATTTGTATCTGGCCCCGTCGCCAAAAGTTTAGTTTTGGCGCCCAAATAATTGCAGTGACGTCGAAGGAAAGCCGCGCCCTGGTTACATTCTCCAGCAAACTTGGGTCTCGAAGATATTGTCTTAAATGCAACAAAATTTGCCAGACAATTGACCATCTCATCTAAAAAGAGAGTCAGTAAATAACCATTAAAATGGGTATGATTGCTCCGTACCATTGCCAACTGCAGGGATCTCTTGGACATCTTGAGGGTGGTCTGTTAAATCCCAAATAGCGACTGTATTATCGTTGCCACCAGTAGCGTAGATACGCCTATTATTGAAAACTCCAGCTGCTGACGCCAGCATCGTCCCTTTGTGAGCAGCCCACGAACCTATCTCTTCGAATCTAGAGTTAAATTTCTGTCGTCAATGGTTAGTGAGAGATGCAATCAATATAGAGAGCAGGGCATATATACCCTTATGATGCCAGAGGAGTCACCAGTAATAGTAACATTTCCGACAACATCAATTGCCCAGAGGTCCCCACTGTGGGCCGTGAGCTTCCTGATGATCTGACGAGAATCCAGGTTCCAGATGTAAACTGCACCTCCTGAAAGGCCACAGTAAAGGAACGCACCGTCGACAGCAATAGAGAGTACTGAATCGCTACCATTTTTTAACTCGCCCAGCTCAAGCAGTGAACCTTCTGGGCACTTACCAAGCTCCCAAAGCTTGACAGACCCATCCCCCGAGCCCGTCAGAAGTACTTCCTCACCATTTGCCCACTCCTCCAGGCCTCGGACTAAGAGCATGCAATATATATAGCCATTGTGGGCATACAGCTTGTGCTGATCTTTCTTGAAGGTAAGGCTCTGGCCACCCTGGCCAAGTCTTTCAGCTGCCTCCCCAGCATCAGGGTTTAGTGTAACAATGCCACCAGGGCCCTTGGAATCGAAAAATCGATGCCTCCTGTTTGACGGATGCACAGAAACTGGCGGCGGTGGAGGGGTATCCAGTTGCAGATCACACCACTGTCGAGGATCAGTCAAGTCATATAATATGAACAGGAGCTGGATTAGGGAAACCGTACTTGAATGCTCGTGTTTTGGCCCCCGCAATAAACAGTTTTGAGATTGGATGAGTACACTACTGTAAATAGATCGCCTACATCGTGATGCGAGTAAATCGAGTAGAGGCGCTCAAAAGTCCTCGTTGACCAAACCTAGCCAGTATTAGTTTCCTTATACACGAAATACCATTTCACATATTAAATCAAAGCAATGGAAGTGTATGAAAACGCACATTAACAACGGAGTCACCACCACTTGAAAAGAGGAGGCTCGCATCATCAGACAGATATAAACCGAGCACACTCTCCTGGTGAGCCTTCACAGATAGGATCAGTTCATAGGTATCGAGTGACCAAGCCTGCATGCATCAGGCATATGTATGTCATGACGTTAGCCATCTGTGAATCTCTCATTCAGATCTGGATATATAAACTTTAAAATTTGTGATACAAACATACAACAATATCGCCCCCCTGGAGCCCCGCAAACACACACTCCTCGTCAAGCACAAGAGCAAGAACAGATCGGACTGCCTGGACACGATGGCCCACACCACACTGGTTGCTTATCTGGACCTCGGGAGGCGTCTCTCCGTTGCAGTAGCTATGCTGGGGTTGAAATTGGGGCCGTCTGTTGAGCTCTAGCTCGATATCAGAGGGGCCATCGAAGTCTGAATCATCCATGATTCCGCTCATTAGCAGGTGTGTTAAGGATGCAAAGAAGGCTTTATTATTAAGCAATGGGAATGTTCAGTCCAAGGCCAATCATTTCTAGTGAACGACGGCGTGGGTTGTTTTTGCTTGTGGATATCCAGCAGAAGTTCCAGTTTGCAGATGGTTGAGGGTTCTTTTTTTTTTTCGCGTCGTCGTCGTCGCCTCCGAGTTTGGAACTTGCCGCCAAACAAAAAGCACTATGGGAGCGCACCATCTTTCCCCTTTGCTCCATATTTCAACAACAACAAAGGTCTCAAATAATAATCATAATAGCAATAACATTGCGGAAATTTTGCAGGGAAATATTGTGTTAAAAAGGAAATCCCCTTTCGGCATGCCGGTTGGCACATAGAAAGAGGAGGAATAAAAATGCTAAAAATCTCACCACGCTTTCGCTGCGTTCGCGCCATGTCTAGGCTGCACATCCTTCTCGGCCTTGACCTCGACAGTGGACAACCACCACCAGGAGAACAACGTTAGCTTCAGGATAAACGGGAATAGGCAAGCAAAGGTTTAATTAATTAAGAGTGAAAAAGGCAAAAGAAAAAAAAAGAAAGAGACGCTTTTTCTCCAGGCTCAACAACTGCACCTCTTCCGCCCACCAGCCCCAACTCTTCTATACTGAGGGGACTAATCGCTAGATATAGGGCTTGGTTCATTGAAGCCAAAGGAGCAACCGAGTCACCATGGAATAACCCACCGTCCATCGTCTTCTCTCTTTCTACAGGGTGAAAGAGAAATATCTTTGCTTTTTCTTTCTTTGTTCTAGTGACTAACCTTGCTTCCGTCTCCCAGCAGAGCCGTGCTAGGAGGGCTTTTCCCGGATGTTGCTTGCACGCCTTCATTTATATCTGCGGGATTCCTCGCGAATTATCTGCGTCGGAAATGATGCAATTAGGAGGTGAGAGTGGTGGCATCGACTGGGCGGGATATATTATAACCGGGGACACGGACACACAAGGTCGCGGAGAATCGTGGTAGGGGGAAGTGTGAGTATCGACTCTCTCTCACCGCTTCGAAAATTTTTCTTCTTTGTGATGTTTCTTTTTCCTGGGTTATTTTTATCCAACTTTTTATTTTCATATTTTTATTTTTGTCTGGCTTTCTTTTGACCGGTGGCCTTCAGAGTCGACAGAAGTTCTGCTTGTCTGTGATAGGCCCCATCTGATGCCGCGAAGAAGTGCCACGCTGGTTGCAATTGAAATGCAAGCTGCACTTTTTGTCCATTGTTTCTCCATCTAACTGTTTGGGGCACCAAAACAATTATGGATAGCTGAATGATGCAATCGCCATGCCTCGTCCCAAATAACACAGCACAAACTGTCAAAAACCCTACCCTTTCGCAGTGAAGTTTCGAGGTATCTCAAGGCTTCCTTGAAAGCTGGGGATTTTTCTTGCGAGGGTGGTTTCGTGTCTACGGGTGCTTTTCATTCTGCAAATCGGGGGATCTTTGACATACCGATACGGTTGTTTAACGGCACTTCTTTCGCAGACAGGCAAGAACAAGTAGGAGGTTAAGAAGGACTACATCACGATATCACCCCATTTACGAAAAATTTCAACGTTGCCGGAACGTGAAAAGTGACAGAAGTTTTCTCAGCGTATGATTTCAAATGGAGACATTATTCTAAAACAAGACCGGATATCTATCTGGGTGTTGGAAGCCGGGGTTCCAGGAGACAAAATGCTTGCTAGTTATTGATACCTTCCCGGAGCTGGCATGGATTCTTTGAACGACAGCTTACGCAAACTTATTAACAAATTTACCTTGACTATTCCATGTACAACCGAAAGAGAGATGGTTACAGACACGAGCAATAGACGAAATGGAAAGGCAGCAAGTGGCTGCTGAGAAGACGACAGAAAAAACAGTTTCCGATTGATTGCTTGGGGAGAATCTGAGTTAGCTGCAAACGCTCTACTCCATAGATCTTTTCAGTCCACTTTCATTGCGCAGGCACACCACTCAACTGTCCGATTCGTCTCTCCTTTTCAGCTGGGAGTGTTCAAAGCTAAGCATCCAAGCATTTACAATATATAGGCATCTGAGCATGGGATCTGGCCCATATAACTGGAGTATCAGCATCCAAACGGGAGAATATTAACCGGGGGGAGGCGTAAAAACTTGAAGGGAATTCTCTGTTGTGGCGCATGCATACAAGCCATATGTGGCTGTGTCAAGTGCCGAGGCTACCACCAGCCACAATATGCATGCGCCACGCACTTATTTCCATACCGGAAGAACGTAGGGTTATTACACGACCGGATTATGGTTGTTCCACCATTTCAATCGGCGACACGGTCGCTGAGCTGTAAATCATAGTATAATGGTGAATGAATGGTGAAATCACTGTAAATAAGTTGTAAACTGAAAAAATCAATTATTATATTAATAATATTACTGAATTTAACTTACATAATTATTAATTCTAAAAATCATCTTATTTATCAGTATTATTCTTTATTTAAAATTATAAACATTTTTAAACTGACTGATGAAATTATGAAATTTATATTTAATTTCATTTAATTTAATTTCATAAATTTTTTAATATAAGTCTCATCAGAATCTAGTATTAAAAAAAATTGAAAATGTATTATTATTTTTTAAAAATGATATAAAAAATAATCAGATTTAATTTAAAAATAGTGAAATATGTTAACTGAATACTTTATATAAGGCCACGTGACTCACATACCTATTCATTAGAATGCTGTGTGACTAGATTAGTGTATAATTAATCAACCTTTCATCTTCATCAGATTATAAGCTCTTAGTCACTTTCATATCATTTCAACTATATACTTTAAGAAGAGATTGATTCTGTGAGTCTTCTACAACTAGACTGACCGTGTGACCGTGTCTGAAACTAGAATTAGAATATTTGATAATCTTATTATCAATTTAACTGATCTCATTACACAGTTTTAACATTAGATAGTAGTCTTATACTGTCTCAGTGAGACTTACTATCTACTCTTATCATATTTTTTAAATGAAACTATGATTTTCACTTCTCAATTTAAATTATTTTTATTGCTTTAAATGACTTTAAATCTCATTTGAGTATTATCAAAAAGTGTTACTTTTTAAAAAATTAAAAATAGTCTAAAAAAACCTTAAAATGTCTAAAAATATTAACTTTATGTCAAGAATGAAACTAAATGAGATTAAATAAGATCACTTTCTTAATTTTTCTAAGTTATAGTCTTATTTTGAGATCTGATATATAGTCACTTTGCATGTTTTTTTAATGATTAGTCTCAGTGAGATTCATACTAAAAAATGTACAAGATCAGATTAAATGAGATTAAATGTGAAATTCATGATCTCAGCAGCCAGTCTATCTACGACAGTAAACAAGAGGTATTGAAAGCTCTTAATAAGAGGTATAATTCATAGACTGACTGCTAAGACTATGAATTTCATATTTAATCTCATTTAATCTGATCTTATACATTTCTTAGTATGAATCTCACTGAGACTAATTATTAAAAAAATATACAAAGTGACTATTCATCAGATCTCAAAATGAGATCATGACTTAGAAAAAATAAGAAAGTGATCTTATTTAATTTCATTTAATCTTATTATTAGTATAAAGTTACTATTTTTAGACATTTTAAGATTTTTTTTAGATTTTTTTTTAATTTTTTAAAAAGTAATGCTTTTTGATAATACTTAAATGAGATTTAAAGTCATTTAAAGCAATAAAAAGAATTTAAATTGAGAAGTGAAAATCATAATCTTATTTAAAAAATGTGATAAGAGTAGACAGTAAGTCTCACTGAAACAGTATAAGACTATTATCTAATTTAA